AAAAATGTTTAGAAAGAAATTGGAGAGAATGTATGCGTTTCAAATTGCTAAGAGTAATTGAATTTCCCCTCACAGGGCAGACAATAAATTCTATCGCCTGACACTCTATAAACATGAAAATGGAAACTGCAATATATTTTGTAAACTTTACATTAGTGGAAAAGGTTTTGATTTGTTTCGAATTTTAATGACATTAACCGACGTGACGCAGGGTCATGATTTATAGAGATCCATAGTCGGGGAGTGTGCAGTACGTACACACACACTGTGGATAATTTTGACCCAAATAGAATTCAATTCTCCCTCACATGATTCCTGTGTGGCAGTTCGCGTACTCCCACCCCGACGCATCTTTCCTCCGGAACCGACATTTTATGTGAGTTGTGCGTGATCTCGGCAATTATTACTTCTCCAACTTCCAGACTACGTCCCTGTCGTCAACGACAAATCTCCTCGGTTAGCCGTAAAACCAAGAGGCATGTGGAAAAGTGATAATCGACAAGGTGGGGAATGAGCCACGACACTCAGAGAAGATTCTTTTTATTAATTTTAATGGCTCAGCGCTCACAACAATGGAAATTCAGCTTTAAATAGAAAATAAATGGAATTAGAACATGTTTGTATACATTCAAAATATGCCTTAAGATTAACCGTAGTCCATAACAGTCACTTATATCTAGGTAATTTCTTTTGGAGTTCTCGAGAGCTGAGTTTGCCATATACATTTCTCCGGACTGTTCAACAATAGATATCCCATAGATACTCAGATACAAAAGCAATTGAGAAAGAAACCGCAAATTTGGCGTCGTTCGAAAAACGGAAACTTTCGTATCTATACGATACGAAACGATGGCAATCCAATAGATATCAACGAGTCGCAAACGATGACAAGTACAAAAGTCGCAATTAAATCTTGAGGAGTAGTGGGAGAAAAGGGCGTACCGGGCGAAGCCGAAAAGAGAAACACATTCAATAGATAGCTGTAATGTGGCACAAACAGACCGAGAGAAAGACACAATGCCAATTGTCTTGGTCTTGGGTCTTGGGTGGGCGTGTCTTGAAAAGGGGAAGAATGGAATGGCTACAGAAAAAAAGCGGAAGACAAATCAATCGAATGGCGAGCGGAGCGTTTTCAGATGGCACTGCTCAGATACTAGATACTTGTACTGTATAGCATGGAAAATTTGGATTGCCAGAAAACTATGTAGTTGGGTTTGAATTAACTTACTTGCATGTCGGGGTAACTGACAATTTGACAGAAAAGAAAGTTTTTACTCACAGAAACCAAAGAACCAATTTATGGTTATCACAGATTGCAAATTGGTAGCAGTCTGAGCTCAATCAGATACGCATAAATATAGTCGTACGGTTGTTAGGTAGTCAAGAATCAAATAGGAATTCGGAAATAATTAAATAAATAACACCTACCAGAGCAATTGGATGAATTATAGTCAAAAGTAAATCACCAAAATCTTTAAAATAGCTAAACCTTTTCATAGTTAATTAATCAATTTCATATATAATAAATTTGATTTTCCTTTAATCAACATAAGAGTGCATTGCGTAATTGAAAAATCCATATCTCTGCGTTAGATCAGCAACCGAATCGAAAAACTGTGATTTGTTCTGCATAATTGAATCAATTGAGTGAGTAGGGGCCAAGCTGAGGCAGCCACATAAAGAACATTTTCATAATTAGAGCAACCGAAAGAGATTCGGGGAAAAATTAATGGAATTGTTAATAATGCGCCGCACAGATTTCCCAGAGGCCCTGCATAAAAGCACAAATGCTCGAGGGGGCAGAAAAATCTCGGGGAGTCGGAACATAACTCAAACAATTGAAAGCTTCCAAAATCGTTCCTTTTCTGTATTCTTATGCGCCGGCGCGGCCAATGCACTTTTTGTAAATATGTACATATTTGTACACTTGCGGGCAAAAAACTATCACCTTTGAGTTTTGTTTTATTCAAATTTAATGTTGTTTTTAAAAAAAAATTTAAGATTGATAATATTGTCTAATCTTAATTTTACAAATTTATGATTTATTCTATATTCTTTAATTTTTCTTTAAAAAAAGAGATAATCTTAATTATGTATATTGTATATTAATATATGTATATTTTGCACATCGTTTATACTATTTTGTACTAAATTGTATGTAAGTGGAAATAAATCGAATTTCGGAGCTGCCATTAAGAACACTTAAGTCTCAAACACGGACTCGAAAATCCAATTTAAATACTGGCCAGACTCAAATTAATTCTGCGTGCTCAAATTTTACGAGTTATCAATTGAGAGTCTCTGTATCGGGAAAAGGGAAAAATATCGACTTGTATTGATTGGAAATATCTGAAGCAAAGTTCAAATGCGTCACGAGCGTAGTGCTGCCCCGCCTTTCAAAAGATTTATTATGCTGGAGAGCCGAACGGAAGCCTCTTCAGAAAGTGGAAAAGAGGGAGCCGCATCATTGGGAGAATCGGGGAGAAGAATGCCAGTTGAAGAATGCCACTTGAACAGCCAGCGACGCCGTCAAGCACTCGCAGTTCTTCGTTCTTCTCGCATGATGCATGTGAGAGAATGAAGAAAGCGAGGTGGAGCAAATAACTACAGTGGGGCTTGCCTAAGTATGATTTTTGAGGACCCAGGAAAATAAGGCTTAAGGCTTAAGTCTAAATCGATTATCTATCACAATTATAATGAAACTTAAAAAGTATTCATCTTATTTCACATATGTAAAAGACCGAATCCGATAAAATATTTATAAAGATAATATTTTAAAGCTTTAATTTAATCTTTCTATTCAAAGAAAAATTCTTGTGATATGACTGAAGATCATGTTGAACTTGTTCAAAGTAATGAATTGATCAGTCAATATTGTGTGTATTGCCTCAAAATCAATCCGACAAAAAGTTTAAGTAAATTTATTTTTCTACTTTTTTGATGCAAATAAATATCTTGAGGCTGGACTGTAATTTGTAATATTCCAAGCCACAACAAAGTGAAAAGAATCCACAGGAAAAGAGGAGCTTCGCTTTAGTTGAATAAAAGGAGCAGTAACCCTCCAGGCAGCTTGGAATGGAAAATAATGGCTATTCCAGCTGGAAAGCGAAGGCATTGAAGTTGCATCGCCCAGACCCATGTGTCTTCACTTCATTTGCAGCAAATGTTGCGTGTCTCTGCCAGTGGAGAGTCATACTATAGGGAACTGTCGTTTGTGACGAATTTCCATTTGATTTATGCTCTCACATTGCAGCATATTTGCATGCTTTATGTTCACGCCCCTCAACATTCGATGTAGTTTTATGACCAAACCAAATACGATTCGCCACAAAGTAAACACTTTCGGCGGAAATCTGTTTCACATCAGAAGTGAGCCCCACAAACAAAAACGTTTATTATTCTTTTCCTTTCATTTGATAAAAATTCAATGTGCATACTTACATTAAGACATTTATCATGGAATAATGGTATATTATTTTTTAGATTTTTAGTTGATTAAAAGGATGCTATTTCTACTTAAATCAAGAACATTTATTGACGAGGGCTTAAACCCACTTTTGTAGAATGTTTAAAATTATTGTTTAAAACAAAAAATCCCCTTATTTATGTCTAACTAATTCTTCAGACAACTTCTTTATCCGACCGGCAGAAGTAGAAAAAATTCTGAATAAAATCAATTATGATAGGCATAACTGCATAAATTTCAATTTATTTATGGTAATAGATCTTAGTGATCGTAAGCAGAAAATAAGAAGAACTGTTTCCCAGAGAATCAATTTGATTGATTACAAGCGCTTCCCCTCGAATCTCCCATTACACGAACATACGATTGGTGGAGTGTTAAGTTGACGTACGACCAGCACCGAAAAGAGTTTTTTTGAGTGTTTCCATTTAGATTGTCTGAATTGATGAACTCGGAAAGGAAACAAAAATCCAATCAATCTCTCGCTTCGAGGGACCCAAACGCGTGCTGTTGTCATTTGGGGCTTTTCGTCCCATCTTCCCATATATTAACATTTACATATATGTACGTATAACTCCCACCCGGCTGCGTCTGCGCCACGCATTCAATCACTTCATTTGTTTCCATCCGCAGTCCTCTTCGGATTCAGCTTCATCTTAGTCTGCTGGGCGGCACGTTCGCCGCGGCAGTAAAATGTTTTATTTACCCTGCACTTATGACCCCGATGCGGATCGGGTTAAATGAATCTGATACCCATATACATGCACATAACCATCGACGGCTCTTGCATTTGCATCTTATGAGGCGGTTCTCTGTTTCCCGGGGCCAGAAAGGAGGTGGAGGTGTCATTGAAACCAAACACAGACAAATGCTGTGGCAACCGAGACACAGCTCTTCGCTCCAACTCGCGATCTCTTGTGTCCAATGATGAATTGTGTCCCTGATTCGGAAGACAATCATGATCGCAGACCTCAGCCATAGTGGCTTATGGTTTATATTTCGCAGAAAAGCGTCAAGACCCAAAACGGATGGAATTCATAAATCATATTAGGAAAAAAAATTAAATTTACGTCAACTCTGAGTAAGAAGAAATTTTAAGAAAGCGAATTTGATCTTTAATAAATTAAAATTTCTTGTTGGTCTTAATAGGTTCATAATAGGAACTAGAATTGTTGCCTTAAATTCTGTGTTTTAAAGGGTTAATACAGTTAAAATTAAAAAAAAATTAGTAAATCAGTAAATTTAAAAGTTTTATCAGAATAAATATTGGAAAATTCGATTTTTTTTATCTTCTAACTGTATAACACCCTCAAATTAAAAAGGCATTCCAGATCCTTTTGTAGTCTTAAAACCATATCAATTTCAATAAGTGTATATTCAATATTGCTCAATTTCTACTAAATGTTATTAGTTTCCTGTGATTAACTTTTTATGAGCCCCATTATAGATTGTTATCACTGACATTGTTAAAATGTTTAAGTGCCATGACATCTGCATGATGAATGGATATTGAATACAAACAATGTAAGAAATATTATTTCAGTAACTGAATGAACTTACAATGTGGAACATACCGATTGTTTTAACCTTTATATTAGCAGTAGGTACTTCTTTATAAGAATTAAAAAACTATATTAATATTTATCTATAGTTTTCCGAAGGACATGTGATGTTTACTAATTTAAAGTGCGAAATAATCGACAAGATGTTTGGAAAATTTGAAACCTGTCATATTAAAGCAATCAATAGAACACATAAATACATGGATGTTTACGTAAAGCTGAATAAATTGCCAATCACAAATATTAAGGTAAAAGAAACCTTTATATGTATTTAAAAAAATAACTTCAAAATATATGATTTTTAGATAATAATAGACCCAATGCGAAACGATAATGGCTACAGACCGTTTTTCATGAGTATGACAGTGGATTTTTGCAAGTATATGAGGAATCCAAGTCTTCAAAAAATGACCCTTGTTAATGAATTGTATTCAAATATTAGAAATGTATCGAATTTGAATCATACCTGCCCATACAATGTAAGTACCCAGTTGGCTCCTATTTTTATTTTAATTTTAGCTCACCAAAGTCAAACACAAACTGCATGTTGTAGTTAAATCGTATGATTTGTTTATAAATCATATTTTAATAAAAACCGGAGTTCACCTGCATCAATTTAATATTTTATTTAATTAAAACTATTAAAATTTTAGAATGATATAGTCTTAGAGAAATTTTGGACTGGCGATCTGGAGAAGGGGCTTACTAAATATCTTCCAATTCCTAATGGACAATATGCATTGTATTCAAAGTGGTTTACTTCGAATATCTTACGCGCAAACTTAAATGTGTACTTTAAGGTACTTAACTGATGGCTGACTTATCGTTATACAAGTTTGAAATGTTGTTTGAAATATAAAACTTGTTATATGACTTAAAAATTATTTTTATTAATTCTAAAGTGCTTATCAGCTTAGCATTTAATATTGTTAGATTGTAACGCACCAAAAAAAGTTAAAAAAAAATGCCTTTGAATAGTTGTAGCCAAATTGATCCTAATCCTAAAACATGGTTCCCGAATTTCGAATTCGCATTTCCACTGTACAGTGCACCAAGTTGTTGCGATGTGACAGCAATTGAATGTCAACAACAAACATAGCGAAGCTATAAATTCATAAACACAATTGTAGATTCAAAGATACAAAATATACATACGAATGTACAATGTACAAACATACACGAGCATTTACAAATGCCTCTTTTGTGTCGCGCCGATCTTTAATTGCAGAATTGTAAGAGGCTGAGGAGCTGGATAACCTTCGAGGCAGTTGTAGTTGCACATTTGCAGATGCAATACTTGCAGCGCTGTCATGGTGATTAATTTGACAGTGGTGTCGCACGATGTGAGTTGCGCGGGCTTTATTAAAAGGATTACACGCCGCACAATTCCATAAAAACGCATCTCCATTCGAAGTGAGCGCTGAGCAGTCGCAGTCGCACTGGGCCTAATAAGATTAATTACGAGCGTCTTGCCACGACTGCATTTCCTACTCCTACCCCCACCAACTCATCTCCATACAGCTGCGTGACCACTTCACATTCAGATACGACACAATTGCAGTCATAACATCAGTGATAGTCCTAGCCGTCTAAAAATATTACTATTTTTCATATATTACGATTAAATTTGTATTAATTTAACCGGTTATTATAAACTCAAAACTAAGGGATAATATATTCGTATTAATTCAAATTTTTTTTTTATTAATTGTTTTTGGTTTGCAAAGCTTTTGAATTACACACATTGTTCCGTGATTATCTTAATAAACCACTATTTTTATAACCGCCACTGTAAGTATCCATGACATTTTGTCCGCGGACAACTCCTCCATTCAATATTTTGACATTATAAATAACTGGCTCATTTGTATCCTACTGTTTCATTAATTAAAAAGCTTTTCGAGTACTTCAAGCCTCTTTTTCCCTCATACAATTGCCATAACAGGGGGTTGGAAGTAATAGTAATCCCTGCCAGAAATTACCATATTCCTGAGTGTTTAGATCCTGCAGGCACGCGAACCTACTTATGGTTATTCTCAAAGCGATAAAAGGTGACAATAATTGGAATCGAAATTGTTTCTTATTTATAAACCGACCAGGAAATGAAAGTAAAATCAATTATTGTATTTTTAATTAAGTTTATGCTTCCCCAGGGAAGAGGCACTCGCATACACACTAAACTCTATCCCATCCCCCAAGGCGAATTGGCAATGATGATGTCATTCCCGCAGCATTCATCTCCCATAAATCACCCAGCGATCGCGAAAATCCCCCAGTTTATGCTCCAGCATGCTGAGAGCCATGACAGCAACCGCATCCACCAGATTCGCCTGTATGCAGCCGAGTGGATTGAAGTGGAGTGGAGTGGAGCCAGCTGCCACAGATTAGTCAGAGCGAGCCAGATTCGGATAGTGGCGCACTTCAATCCGCTCGCTGCCAAGCTGCTCGACTGGTTTTCAGATCGCTGGTTATCAAGGCAGAGTGCGGCTAGGTACCAAAGATCAAGGTGAATATAATGCTATTTTGGGTACTAAGACTCCCTCAAACGCACAGTTTAAATAAGAACAGCCATGCATTGGCATCACATCATCAATATAGAGCCAAGATTTAACGGTCTCCAACTTAAGGGTCACTCCTCTCGATCTCATAACTTTCTTTCGCCATAACAATAAATCTGGCAAAATGAAATTCAAAAGAGAGTCAGCAAAAATAAGTCGCCTAAAAGCCGCAAAGAGAACATTCTGTGGTTGGCAAAGGTTAAGGTACAAATTGGCAAAACTTCAGTTCTGCTTGGGCGACTTCAAGAGAATTCCGATGGTCTGGTCAGACTCAATCGATTTATTCCTATTCCAAAGCCCAATGAAAAGTGCTAAAGAACGAGCATTAGTATGCACAAGATGGCATTTTAGACCAATGGCCATGCATATGTATATGCTCGGGGCATGATTCACCTCTCTACATAAAGTGAAAAGACCCAAACATGAGTAAATGCACATTCATGGATTTTAAATGGGCCGATGAAAATAAAGAAATAAACTGTTGGCAGCACATAAGACTAAGAGCTGCGAGCGTGACTTGTTTCCCCCATGTTTTGGTTAGTTGCTTTTTCGCTGGCCTCTTTGGGTTCCCACTTTTGTGGGCCGTCATTCATTCACGCCAACTGTTTGTTGATAAGTTTCTGTGACACATTCGACTCGTTTGCATATCCGAGCGGCTAACGAAGCCCAGCCTGTGGCACCATTAGATAGAGTTAATGGACAGCCGCAGATTGGCGACAGTTGGGGTGGCATTATCACTTCTCACTTAGCTTTTATTCGGTTGCAAGGCAAACGGAAACGGCAAAATCCTTCTCTCATCGAATCACCATTAAACTAAACATAGGCAACTGGCAACAAGGCTTTACGCCTTCGGCTTCTCCGTGGTCCAGTTCTTGGGACGGTCGGCCATGATGGTCCAGTCGTTTTCGGCAATGTTTAGACCGCCGTACTGCCTTAGAGGAGTGTCGGGGAAGAACTCCCAGCCCTGTTCAATGGACATCTTCTTGATGACGCCAGCAATGCCTGGAATGCGTTACAGGTGGGTTAATCACTAAGTTCTAGCTTATCAGCTAGCGAGACAACTAACCCAGGAAAAGGCCGGCGCAGAGACCAGCTACATGGTTGTGCTTCCAGGCTCCAAAGACACCGCCAGCCGCAAAACCGCCGATCAAGTAGTTGATTCTGCAATAGGGATGTGATTAGACCAGGAATTGATGAACAGATGGCTGCCCCACTCACTTGTCGTCCTTTCCGCGGGCATTTGTGGCCGCCAGGGTGGTCAGTGTAAATGCCGTGGCCATGCCCATCAGCGGACCCGTGTTGTAGGCGAAGCGGCCCAGCGTGGGCAGGTAGCCCTGCGGCTTGGAGAGCGTCAGTACGTCGAACATGGACCAGGCCAGTCCGGCGGAGATCGCGTACTTATTGGTGGCCACTATCTTGCCAAAGGCATCCTCGCCATCGGGTCGGTCGTAGTACTTGGAACGGAGCAACGACATGGTTGTCTACACGGGATCGAGATGCAATAACATTAGCCACAAACAAAATGTTAGGGGTTCGGAGCATTCATGGCCATTTCAGTCATTCGGAGCAGTTGCATTCGTTCCTCGGAAGATCTGCTACCGATTCTGAGACTATTCAATGGTATGGAGTTCCAAATTACCAAGGAATTAACAGTAATTTACTAACCTGCCGAAATTTACGTAATTTTTGTGGCGAAGATTGACAAAAAACAGCTGTTGGCCAGTGTGTACACACGGGCAGAGGGAAAAAATTCAAGACTTGTGCTGTTAGGCGCATTCTGTTAAGCACAATTCTGTTAAGTTGTTAGTTTTAACAGAGCTCATAAGCAAGAGTTTATTTTCAAATTCAAATTTTGAGAATCCATGTATTTTGGGGTTCTGTTTACAAAAAAGTAGGTCAAAGTTAGAACAAGACCGATTTCTTGTCCCTTTCTCAGGACATTCCATCCTCTGCATAATCTTCAAAGTTCAGAACTCTAAAAATTAGCATTTTTCTGGTTCGCTAGTGGGTGAAAAAGAAAGTCGTTCAGGACCACGTTTGATTTGAAACACATTCCATTGTCAAGTTCGGCTTTTAATATATTTATTATACTAGGTTCACAAACGCTGTGGCACTAACTTTAGTTGTTTAATCATAATAAGGTGCAATCGATCGGATCTGTTTGAGTAATTTTTCTGGCCAAGTAGCTACAGGGTTGATGCGGTTTGAAATACATATGCGCTTAGCTTAATGGTAGACTAGTTTTAGCATTGAGTTTCAACTAACAGTATTCACATAAAATCATACAGTTCACAAAGACCGCATTTTTCTAATCGAGTTAAAGAGATTTCGAGACATGCAACTAGGATTACGTTTGACCGAAAGTGAGAAAGGTTTTTTAAAAGCAGAAAGACAGGTTGTGTGTGTGTTTTTTTTTGTGAAGAGAGGGACAAAACTTTGGCGTTTTAAAATCAAAACAAAGATATCAAAACATACAATATGTATATACAAATTAGATATCAAATTATTGGCAAATCTGTTTCGTGTTTATCAGTCATAATGTTCGTCGTTAAACGAAATTAGCAACGAAATTTCACTCGGCCCTTTGCAATATTTTCGTCTGAATCAAGTCATTATCATTGCCAGGATATATAAAATTCGATCGGTGTACATTGAAGTATATATCTTTGCCTACTGCTCGTCGTGTCCAATTATTTCGATGTCATCAGCCAGAGGACTTTCCACTGCGGATTTGCCTGCATTTCCATTTTGTTGATTTGCGTCCAAATTAATCAATGACAATGTCATTCTGCTGCTAAGAATGATCTGAAAAGCAGAAATTAGGTGGGTATATAAAAGGGTATAGTCTTTATTAAGGCAATATTCTTACGGCTGGTTCCTCGGCTGATCCATTAAGCTCGGAGTCGTAGACCTCTTCACGTTTGGTTTGGGAGTCGGCCACCAAAATCTGAGACTCATGTGCCAAAGCGCCTTCCAAGTAAATGGACTGCGATTCTGGCAAATTTTCTTCCAATTTGGACTGAAATCGTGATAGGAAAACACTTATTATTTTAGGTAAAGTCTTTTAAAAAGCTTCAACATATATGCGCAGCGTAGGGTTAGTTCTTGCCTATAAAAATAAACTCTTGGTACAATTGGTACATATTTTCCGATATTTTAAAAATTTGTGTCTACCTTGAAACATTACTCAATTATCATTGCTTTTAAAATCCTCTTAAATAAACCTTTTGTTAATTCAAATCTTTTTTTGGAGTGGGTATTAATGTCAGCAAAGTCAAGTACTCAATTAAAAAATCTCTTATTAAACTGCTTACAAAATTGTTATGAAATCGAGCCTATAAAATTTAAAATGAAATGATAACACAATTTTAAGAGCTATTTTCTAAATCAGAAAACTGCACCGAAAAAAAAAGTTTTGTTTCTGTAGTAATTGTCAATTGAATTTAGTGGGCAAGTCTTTTAATGGTTTTTAAAAATGTTTTTGTTTCCGAGGCTTATAAAACTTTATGGAAAAGGAACTTGCGAAAGTTCAATCTTTTAGGAGAACATTATAGTATATATTTTATTTTGGTAAGTTTTATACTGTTATATTCTGAGAGAATGTTTGTTAGCGTAGCAATTAGATATAGAGTATCACTTCATCTTGGTGCTAAACCGATTAGTTTGGAACTGATTGGGGTGTGCGGCAGTGGCACTTACATGTTCGCTTGGCGCTCGGAAAACAGGCGTTGGAGGGCGACCGGTCCACTTGTGGCCGCCCTCGCAACTGGCTGTTAACTCCATGCCCAGTACCTGCGATTATTTACGTCAACAGATCTACAATGCAAAGGTGATATGATGTGCCATATAGCCTACCGTAAGTTCCCGCTCAGCGCTCAGATCCCGGCGCTTCCTGGCTCCGCCTCCCTTTGCCGCTGTCTCCGGATTTTGGTCGGTGTCGGTGTTTGCATGTCCGTTGGAAAGGATGTTCTGCTTGTCTAGTTGCTCTCTCGTTTTTTCGTTGTCGTTTTTCTGCATCGGGTGGGTACAAAAAAAAAACGGGTTAGAAAAGACTCTGGAATGTGAGATCTAAGCAATTCTACAGCCTCAAACGTAAAATAATAAACGCATTAATTACTTCAATTCGTTGTGGTTAGGTGAAACGCAACAAAACTCAATTAGTCGAAGGATCTTGGTTAATAAACAAAAAGATTAAGTGCCCGGACACACGCGTGTCTCCGTGTATCCGAGGGTAATGTTCAAGGATTGCCGTGCCGGACCCTTTGACGGTCGCTAACCTTATTCGAATCAGTTTCAGTATCGCTCGTCGCCCTCTGCTTGTCTTGGCCGTTCAATTGCTCGTCGGCCGCGTCTATCAAACCTTGTATGGCCGTAACGACTAAGCCCCAAAAAATTGGTTTCGTTTTACACACACACATTGGTGAGAAACATGAAAAACGTAGAACGTAGACAGAGAGTTTATAGTATTCATATGGTAGTTTCTTTAGCTTAAACAATGGAATGATGAGGTTTGCGATTATCTTAATTGGCAATGTGATGTTTCGGTCGTTTTACAGAGAGAGAGAGAGAGAGTGTTCGAACAGATTTCGAAAAAAGACTTGTTTGAATCGTAAAATATGTCCCCATCATTAGCGTTTAGTTGAGAGTACTCAAATGCATAAACATTCAGACGGGGTTCGTTAGTATAGTGATAGTAGTAGAAGTACATAAGTGGAAGATATGGTTAAATATCGCATGCCGACAGCACACAAGCAGGTTAAAACAGAGTCAGAGTCGGGACAAGTCCGCGATCATCCATGCACTTGTTAGACATATAGACAGTGTGATGGCAGACAGGATGTACACATAAGAGCTGGGATGTCGGGACTGGGAGCAGAGGAGCAGGGAGCAGGGATCAGAAAGAAACCATTCCAAGGATTCCAAGCTATCCACTAGAAACTAAAACAGAAACAATCTATTTGAGGCTTGTACTTAGTTGTGATCTGAGTTGTTGGTCTGATTTTGATTTTGGTCTGTTTACTGGTCTGATTCTATGTGAACTGAATGATGGTTATTTTTGTCTTAAAAGTTTGGCTGCCGCTTGAGAAACTTCATGGCAATCATCTTGAAAATGAGAACACAAAAAGGACATAAAGATTATTAAAATGATGGCGTTCGGCGCACGCTGGCCAACTAAATGCACTACGGTGATGTACTAAATGTATCTGAATCGGTTTCATATTAGCTATGATCAGTATCTGTATCTGGTGTCCAGGTGTCCACATGTCGATGGCGATGCTAACCTTTGCCTCATACTGATCGGTGTTCATTTCGGCCACCAACTGGGCCATCGCCCGCTCCGTGCTCTCGAGCTTCTGGCGCAGCTTCTCGATCTCCATCAGCTGCTCGGCCTCCTTTTGCGCCTGGTGGTTCTTCAGCGAGGCGGACAAGCTGCTGGCCACCTCGGTGGCCGACAGACTGGCGTTTAGCAGCTCCTTTTCGGTGTCCTTGGCGACCGGCGGCTTCACGGCGACGGCGGCGGCTGCAGCGGCTCCTATAAAATTGGCGTACGATTTGGCTTTGAGATTGATAATCAGGGCCGAGAGAGGTCTAACGAAACTAAAAGGTGTATTTAAAGGTGTATTTACAGGGGCAGGAGTGGCAACAAAATATATATATATATATATATATATGTATTTGAATGTAAAGGGGCATGACTCAATTCATGAAGGCGTGATTGATTTGGGGGTTAGTAAATATATATATAGCTTACACAACATCTAGAATAAGTACATCTAGGGAAATGAATAAAAACACATATTTGCTACGATACAAAAACCAAATGAGGAGGACATATTTCAAAAATCAAAAGGCCTTCGTCGAGGTCTAGAAACTGAGGATACGAACGGAACTCTATGGTCATCGGAACCATCTGGCTTACTTGTCTGATGCTCTCGCCAGCCTTATATCGTAGGATGATATTTGGAGTGCGTGGACGGAAGCAGAAAAGTACAAAATGCATTTTTCGGTTAGGATTGACTAGTGAGTGCGATGGCGTGTGTGTCGAGCTACGTGACTAATCATCCGGAATGCGAGATCCGTATCACACTGAAACTTACCCAATTTGCTGCTGCCCAAGTCCTCCACCTGACTGTGGTTCTGTTGTCCGAAGACCTCCTGGCGGAAGGCAGGATTCTGCGGTGCTTGTCCGTACGGATCGTTGGGACCTTGTTTCTTGAACATTATCTACCAGGAAAAGGGGTTTACTTTTTACTTTTAATATACTTATTACTATAAAATCACCTTCATTAATGTGTAGCCGAAGAACACTACGATTCCGATCGTGTAAAGTGGCATCAGGAAACCCATGCTACTGCCACCCCTTTGCTGAGGTTGATGCAGTGCTCCGGCTCCCATGGGCGGACGCATTCCAGGAATAGGTCCAGGCTGAAAATTTAAAATTAATATTCATCAAAATATATTTAATTTTCGTTGTCATAGTCTAAACAGCGATTTGAAGGACCGAATATCTGTTTTATTCAATTTGAATACATATATTAAAGGTCATACAAACTTTTCAAGGGTCTTGATATACCAACTCTATGTCGATTTCCTCATAGGAAGATTGTTCTTAATTCCACCCAAAAGATAAAAATAAAGTCTGAATTGCCTATCTTATTTCGGAAAAAAATAGTCAAAACTATTTTTGAAAGCATTGAGGAGAATGAATTTTTAAAGTTAAAATACGAAACAACCGCACACACTTTAATGAAGCCTAAGAAAACATGGATTTTAGTACGTGGTTTATATCCTTGAAACATAAAATTTGCAACCAAAGCTGAACTTTCGATGATTTTCACCTGTAATCATAAAAATAACGTATACGCTCCGATGTATTTTGACATGGGCAGCGTTCAGCTGATTTGTGCTCTTCGGCTATTTCACCCATCTAGTTGCCATAGACGAGAGCAAAATGGAACTGGCGCATTGAATTTGGCACAAGTTCAATACGTAGCAGCACATTCTGCCGATCTCCCACTCATCCTTTACAGATTCTTTTTGTGTTTTCTTTAGCGCTGTCTTTTGCCTTCAATTTGCGTGCAGTGTCATAAAAACAAAACCCGAATCCAAATAAAATAAACGTTTCGGCTATTTATAAATGACTTCCAACGCGAGCGCGGATATGTCTCATCACAATCATTGCGACCACAGCCGCCGAAATGTATAATTGTGGATTTATCATCCGGAGAATAATGCAAGCTATAGCCTAACTTACCCGTCCGTCCACGATCCGCGGAGGCGGATTGCTGGGTGAGGTTTTCCGCTCCACGATCGGAACTGTGGGCGTGGCGGGAATGGCGCGACCCCGCTCCCGCATGGCTTGATATATGGATTCCGGATGCAGGTGGGCTGGACGCTCCTGGCGCAGACCTGCCAAGATTGCGAATTTTTTAATTAGCCATGTTTTACTCTTGACCGTTTAATGATAGAACACTTAATTTGTTTAACAAAAGCCATGTACAGTAGCCAGTGGTTAGGTAAAAATAGAAAGGGTTATCCTTACTAAACAAATAAACAATAATATTATCCCTTAAACTTCTGCAAATATTCCGAAGAATAATATATTGATTGGTATTACCCATGGGTTTTACAAATAATACATATTAATCTCTTAGTTAGTAAGGGCGTGATAGCTTTTATTTTAAATGCAAATAACGTCTACTGATATAAACTATTTTTAGAGCCATAATTTGGTTTTAAAGTAAATCCACATTAATTAAGTCATGTTCATGGGATAACAATATCCTGTATTCCTGAATTTCTACTTTAAAGAGCCTATAGAGACTTTAAGTTTAGTAAAATATAATTTCAAAAATGTTATTGAGTGATTAAGCCGGACTAGAGAAACCGCCGAGTTGAATTAATTATCTTGAAAAATAATCATTGTTAAATCTATTGAATAATATGCTAGTTCTGGAGTATAGATCTCGTAACAGAATTTTCTTTCATAATCAGATGTTAATTACAGATCGTTAGTAAAGCTGTTTTCTTGTTTTCAAAGCCAAACAGGGTTAGTGAGAGAAAATAAGAGAACAACATTGCGGCACATACTTATTTCGCCCGTGTAAACATTGATTTGTTTGCGGTACAAATGCGGACCAAAGGGCTCGATGGTATCCTTCTTCGTAACATTCATGAACTGCTCTCTGTCAAGCACGACATCACAACATCCTACAACATCGATAGCACACACAAACAAACACCACCCACATACGGAAATCAAAAGAATAAAATAAAATGTATTAATATATAATGAAATAATAATTAAGCACTAGTAATTTTCAAGAGAAAAACGTTAGAAACCAATTATTTCACGTAAAAAATAAATCATTAATTGAATGAACCTAAGAAACACTTATGGTAATTTATTATTTTCAGTAAACGCTCGCTTAGGAGAAAATACTTTTTTTTATTAGAAATAAAATTCAAATATTCTAGGATGACCGCCCAAGAGAGCTTTTACGATGATAAAGGAAACCTGAAAACTCACCGCCGGGTACTGCTCGCTGATCCTTGAAGTTTTGCTTGGGTGGCGGAACCCCGCCAAACATCATCGGATGGAAGACCTTTGGCCACAGAATGGCGATGCATCCGATCACGGTGACGATGATCAGGGCAGTTTTCTTGGGCGTCATTCCCTCGTCGACGACGGGAGGTCGCTGTTTCGACGTGGCTGTTGCGGGCATTTTGGGATCGGTTCGAATCTCGATTCCGTAGGCTTTCGTTTCGTATGGCTATTTGTGGAGGCTAAAGCTAGATCCTAAGGCAACTGTCCCTATTTATTCCTGATCGGTTTGGTTCGTTGGTGGCCCTTTGCGAGCTGTTGACTATGCGGCGTGTTTCCGGTTTTTGGTTAACTTTGACATTGGCTCATGTTGGCTAGTTGGTTACTGTACGTTTAAAGCATTATCTGAAAGATACATAGACGCATTATGTGGTTGGTTACACGCTTCAGTTGACCGATTCGGCCGTTCGTTGGAGTTTAGTTCACATCACTGGTCACGAATCACAAAGCAAAATGCTGTATACATTTAAATATTGTTGCGGGAAAACAAAAAAGTTTATTACATAAATAGCGGTCCCGATCTTTTTTATTTTTAGCTCGCGCAATTCGCTCTTTTCGGCCCGTCTAATAATTCTTTATTATTTTCACTTTTCCTAGCACACAAATCACAGGGGCTCTTCAAATTAACGGCCGCATAAATAATATTGATTGCTTCTCCAAAAAAAACGTTTTAAATTCGATTTGGGTAATGCTTCCTGAGTACAGGGACCTGGGAACTGGACAGAGCAAGGTGCTTACGCAAAGTTCGAATGTTATTCCCGAACTGGCAGGCAAATTTTTTAAACCATTAGCGAATTTTCGACAGATCAGTTCAGAAGACCCCGACACGATGAAAGCTATTCGGCTGCTCGCTCTCTTCCCCATAATCGTCGTCGAACATTATATTTCTTTATTTTTGCAGCAATATTAGATCGGACAGTATAATGAGTGCGACAAAGTGATTTGCAGCTTGGGCCTGCACCGGGAATTTCCGAGAGCTATCTCCCAAACATACAGCAGCAGTCGAAACTTTATTTTCTAAAATTTACCTTAAAGAAGTGTACAATTTTCTATTATAACTTTGAAAATTAATAAACAATTTTAAAGTTGTATAATTATAAGCATAATAATTGGCAATAAATTCCATGAGCCAACTTTCCTGTAGATTCAATTCCTTTTAACAATAAATTTTCCTTAATGTAGCTAGGGTTCTATAATGATGTACATTTATTTTAACGGAATACAAGTTATTGTTCTGAAGAAAGAACAATTGTGTTTAAAAAAAAGTTGATTTAAATCATTAAAGAGTGCTAAGACTATTATAAATTAAACCCGGAGAAAATTAATAAATAGAAAATTAAACAATCGCTGCTGATTTGTTAGCCACCACTGTATGAATGCGAAATTTTCATGTTTTTATAATTTTCAGCACGCAGCTTCTCTCTTGTTATCATGCTCGCATACACACACACTGGCAAGTTTTATAAGTTTATCCAACAATTTCCATTTCGCTTTCAAACGCACTGACTGGCAAACGGGGGAAAGTTAAATTGTTTAACCGTGCACTTCTGTTGTTTTCACCAGTTAAGCTTTTTTATTTTGGCCACCTGGATTTTTATTTTTTTGGCACTGTCAAGTGTTTTCATGCTTTTATTTTTGGAGTCATGGCGGCATTGTAAGTGGGTTCAATGCCGTTTGGCTTAAGACTCATCACTTATTTTTAAAATGATGAATTCAAAGCGTGAAGATTTTGCACCAAATGTCCTTGGCATTCTTCTTTAGTTCCAAAACACTTTTGCTTTATTAATTTACCAGTTGTTTTGTTTAACTAAATTTAAAAATTCGTTTTCTTATCTAAATACGGCTAGTTTCAAACTGTTTGTTTGTCGTTATAAATTTCACTGCCCCAAAGAAAGCAGCAGCAATAATAATTGATTTTTCAGATGGGCGAAACGAGATGGGCAGCACTGTCGGCCAGTTGTTCTGTTGTTATCGATACTCTCCTATCGTTTGCTCAAAATGAAGCATTTATACTGCTTTTCTATAACAAAATGTGTCAAATTTTAATTTTTTACTGTACTCATCAACTTTTATTTATTATTGGAAAAATATAGAAGGAGGAAGATTGTAAAAATTGTTGGATGTAAATATTTTAAAACATTTTTTATTGAATTTGATATATTAAAAAATTTAAAATCGTCATGATAAAGAGCTCGATAAATTCAAGAGTGAACTCCACAAGCTTTTGTTATAACTCTTAGTTGATTTTCATTAACTAGAAAGTTTACCCAAAATTGTATTTCCCAAAATGTTACTTATATCCGATGTAAGCCAGCCAACGAGTTCAAGAGATAGTGGAAAAGGGCTATTTCATAACTGATTGGAATTTTCACGCTCATTGCTACGGTCACACCAATGTTTTCGTCTCCTTTGTGTTATAAAATTAACAATTCATAAATACGCATTTTCCGCTGAGCCACCTGATCTCTCCGAGACTTTGGAGTATACCACCGCAGCGAACACTTGAAGTGGAATAAATTTCAAATCGAAAGTATACGCGCGCCTGGCGTGGCTTGTTTCTAGGTTTTCATCCACAAAACTGGAGCTAACAATGGACAATGAGTCGTGGGCCTGTTCGTCGGTAGAGAAGGACCTGACCCGCGTGGTCACCAAGTTGGAGCAGCTCCACGAGAACGCGGCAGCGGACATCGGGGACATAGCCACGCAGATGTCCGAACTGGTCGAGGTCCTCAGCAGGGCGGAACAACTGGTGACCACTCTGAACTCGAGCACCCAGGTCTCCCAGGACGATCCGATGGGCGACGGGGTGAGCATGCAGGTGGAGACGGAACCGACGGCCCCCCAGCGGCTAACCGAGCGCCAGATGGAGAGCATCCGGAAGGCCATCGGCAGGTGCAATGAGCGCGTTCAGAAGCTGTCCACAGAGCACCGCGATCTACACGGTTCCATCTCGAAGATCGGCAAGGCCATTGACCGCAACTTTAGCGCCGATTTCACATCCACCATGCGCGTGGACGTGCTGCAGGACGAGGAGAACCTGATGCTACTTAACAAGGCCATTGCCAAGCACTACTGCCGCCAGGGCATGGAGAACGTGGCCCGCTCCCTGATTAACGAGTGCAAGATGCCGGCAGAGCATGCCCAGGATGTGTTCGAGTCGGAGCGCGAGTTCGCCGACATCTACAGCATGTGGGTGAAAATCCAGAAGCGGGACCTCACTGACGCCCTCAAGTGGGCCAAGATGTACTCGCAGCAGCTGAGTGACCGCCACTCTCTGATTGAGTTCCGACTGCACCGCATGCGCTTCATGCAGCTGGTGTCCTACGGACTAGAGTCGCAACGCGAGGCCATCTGCTATGCCCGGCTGAACTTCAAGAAGTTCGCCGTGCGCTACGAGCACGAGATAGCCAATCTGATGGCCAGCTTCATTTATCTGCCGAGTGGACTGGAGAACTCGCCATACAAGCACTTTCTGGGCCAGGAGATGTGGACCGAGCTGTCGTTCATATTCCTCAAGGACGCCTGCCAGCTGCTGGGCATCAGCAAGAACTCGGCCCTGTCCGTCGTGGTCAACGCCGGATGCACTGCCCTGCCCGCCCTGCTCAACATCAAGCAGGTGATGCAGTCGCGCCAAGTGCTGGGCATGTGGAACGGCTGCGACGAACTGCCCATCGAGATCGATCTGCAGCCGGAATTCCGCTTCCACTCGATCTTCGCCTGCCCCATCCTGCGCCAGCAGACCTCCGAGGACAACCCGCCCAAGAAGTTGACCTGCGGCCATGTCATCTCCAACGATGCCCTGCACAAGCTCAGCAATGGCCACATACTCAAGTGCCCCTACTGCCCCGTGGAGCAGAATGCCGAGGAGGCTGTTCGCATCTACTTTTAAGCCACATCTATATATTCGCCCTATGATAATCACCATTACCCATGCGGCTTGGCTCGGGCAGTTCGAGGACTGGTGTTGGTTGGCCCGCTTTCCTTAACAAATCGTAACCATTTTAAATTAGCTGCTTAGATTCATGTTTTTAGACAAATTCGCAGAGCGGAATCGAACTTCCTGGGCCCGTGTGTTGATCGTGTTTCCCCACATCCTAACAGACAATTTAGAATTAAAAAATATATATATATATACTGTGTATTTAAAACAAACGACGAATGAATTTTTATGCAGAATCCATGTTTAATTAAATATGAATCGTCCGGAGTGCATCTTTTAGTGCCTATGTTTGTGCTTGTGCTTATCGCTGCGATGCCTGGGAGGAGATGCCTCCTCCCTTCGAGAGGATCGCGAGGTGAAGGATGTTGGAGAGCTGCGCGAGCGGGACGAACTGGAAGCCGGGCTCTCATAGCGGGAGCTGCGAGAAGATCGCTCAGCATACCGCTTCGGTGATCCGGAAGGACTGCGCGACCGGTTACGCTTGGAGGACTTCGAGGAGCGGGAGTTTTCCGGCGAGTAGTCACGTCGTTTCGGTTCTGCTGCGGCGTAGGGCGAGTGCGATCTTTTGCCACTGTACTGGGCTGGACTTTCACTGACCTTCGAACCCTTTGATTTGGTGTGCATGTAGCTCAGAGGGGAATCCACGGCACATTCAGTTCTAGAGTCCTAAATAGATGGAATTTAGATTTAGTGACTTAAAAGAGATTTACCACGCGTAATCAAGCCTACCTGTTTGAGCAATCGCTTTCGGAAATACTCCACTTGCTCGGGCACTGTCCAGCCGGGTTCAACGCGCCGTTTTCCTGACTCCAGTTCGTCCTGATACTGAATTGCTTTCAATTCGATATCCCTCAACTTGAGTCGCTTCTCGTCGCTATACTTCTGCGAGTTTTCATCGTCACTGTCCTCGTCGGAGCTGAAAAACTTGGGGGGATCTGGCGGATCCAGTGTGTCCCATTTGCTGGTTGTGATCGCCTGCGCTTCTACTTGCTGGGGGTCAACTGTCTCCCACTTTGAGGGAATGAATCCGGGCATTTTGGGAGCAGGTTTGCTTTCTTTTTCGAGCGGTATCCCATCGAGGTCCTCATCTACTGCAATTCGGGATTTGTTGGTATTACAAAGTAAAGATAAAGATAGATTTAAAGAGGCTCACAGGGTACGCCGTCGATTTCATCGTGGTATTCCTCCCTTTTGGGCGTTTCACGTTTTGGTGTAGCAACATCCGCATCGGGCAAGGCCCTCTTCAAGGCGCTCTTGAGCAAAGCAGCTCCGTCCAGTGGCACCCCGTCCAGGTCTTCATCGTCCTTCTCCTCTCCGGATAGCGGGGCACCATCGATATCTTCGTCCAGGGCCTCCTCGGAGCGCGTTTCTTCGGCTTGGGGTGAAGAACTTGCTGGCATGACGTACTAAATGCAAATTACAAATATAAGATCTGTATCATCTGTGATGAAAGTCACAAACTAACCGGTTTGCCCAAGAACTTGGCTGTCAGCTGAGCCAAAAACTCCTTGGGGTAGATTGTCCACTCCTCCCAGGTGCGAATTACATTGCAGACTCTGGACTTGAAGCCCTCCGCTTTCAAGCGGCTCTCAATGTTCTGGTAGTAATTGTGCAGATTTTCGAAAATATCCAACAATTGCTTTTCCACACTAGGCAAAAAAAAAAGGGTTACTTCATAGTTAGGTCCCAAAAGCTCTTAAGAACTTACGACTTGCGAAAGAAGGAAGCATTTGCCACTTTAACTGTACAATTATGCAGTATATCTGAGATCAGATACAACCGAGCAATCTTTTTTGAAGGCTTTGTATTCAAGTTGGCCAGAGATTCGGCGATACACTCGCATATCTCATCAGCAGCATCGGCATGTTCTATGCAAAAGATCATGGCATCACCAATGCGGGCGCGTTCCGGAGTTAGTTGCCTAATCAGATCCTCAAGTCTATCCCGTTGCCTGTGAAAAACAAGAAATGAATTTAACCTATTCCCAGAATGATAATCCTCGCTTTACATACGCATTGGACAAGGCTCCTTTGTGCACCACGGGGGCATCAGGATCCACAACCAGCTCATCCGGCATGCCCTGGGTATAGAAGTTGGCAATCGGAGGGCGCCAAACCGGTCCGTTTTTGAACATACGAAACTCATCCTCCCTCCACTCGTTCGGCGTGTCCCCCTGCAGCAAAGAGAACAGCTTCCATCGATAGTAGATGTGTGCAGGACTCTCGTTGTCGAAGAGAAACGAAAATAGAGGATTCTCCATTTCGCGAATCATGATCAAGGCCTCGAACATTGGACCCTCGCGTATGACAAACTCGATCATCCGATGGATAACATTCAGCACAGCTCTGTAAATACACAAATATTTAGGCTTCTATGAGGTAAATGATTTGGAAGCAGTACATACTTCTCAGTGGGAATGTGAACTTTTACAACGCATTTGGCAAGTATCTAAGAAATAAACGATATTAGCTGTTTTTCGTTTTAGACAAGAAGTGCATTTGGTTACCCTTTCCATGTTTTCCTTGTCCTCTTCCTGGTCAAACTCCTTGTAGTTTTTCTTGGGTAAAACACCAGCCTCGCTCGGTGGCGGTTGGGCGTTGAAGGGCAATCCAGATGGAGGTGGCGGGAGGGTCATTTCCAGCAGTGCTTGCGGTGTAAAAATAGGCGTGTTCATTATGGGCACAGTCTTTCCTACAAGAGAATTAGATTGTAAAAGCATTGTGATATATTTAAGGGATTAGATTAGATTAGATTACCCCATCCCAGCCGCATCTCGTATCCCATGATGTAGCGTCCATTTAATGTCCTCAGTGCCCTTTCAGCGTCCCTGCGGCTCATGTAGGCCACAAATCCGCAGTTGCGACCTCTTTGCTTCTCCTCCTCGGAGCGTGGCCACATGATCTTGATGCTGGCCAGAGGACCGTACCGCCCGAAGATTTCCATGAGCTGCTGCTCGGATATTTTGGGGTTCAGGTTGCCCAGGTAAAGATTGGTGGTGTTTGGATCACCGGTATCGAAGGATCCCGAGTCCTTGGAGCTGTTGGAGGCCTGAGAGGTGGTGGATGCACTACTACTGGGCACAGGAGCACTCGCTGCCGCCGGCTGTTGAGCTGGCGGGGCATGGCTAACAGCCAGGTGCTTGTACTTGTGGCGCTCCTCGCGTTCCTCTTGGATTCTGCAAGCATTTAACAATCAATGGAGTGTATATAGAGGGAGTACTAATTGGGCTTACTGTCTCAGTTCCTCCTTGAACAGCTCCAAGTTGCTCTTCTTCTTTTCCTGGTTTTTCTTCTTCACCGGACCCGGGTCCTTCTTGAGGTCCGAGGCCAGGGTTTTGGCATATTCCTCGGCCTTGTCGGAGGAGCCCTTGTCCAGCAGCTTGGAGACGGGCTTGTATAGCTTGCCCTTCTCCGACTTGTCCTCCCGCCGAGATCCGGCATCGTAGGTGCCGGCTTTGACCCACACTTTGGAGGAGGGTGTGGGCGCCTCTTGGAAGGTCTCCACAAACTCTTTGAAGGCCTGAAAATCGTATCCGATTACTACCGGAGCAGCAAGGGTCCACTGTTTGGACTTACATGAGCCGCTGCAGCTGCATCCTCCTTTTTCTTCTGGTCTTCTATCTCCTTTTTGGACAACTGCCTCTTTGAGAACGTGCCCACCGTGAAAGCCTCCAGCTTTTTCTCGCTAATCCTCTGAAAATGTGACCGGTAAGTGGATAACTCTGTTTCCTCGATATCTGGGCCACCTTTACCTTCAAGCTGGCCGAAGCGGCAGCCACTTCCTTGGGCTTAATCACGGGTTTACTCATTTTTTCCAAGTCAATATCCGCATTTTCCACAGATACAAGTTATAAATTGCGAGTGCCAGTGTGACCAAAGCCAGCCAAGTTGTTTAAGCGTGACCGTATTCCGCGAATACGGCACGACACAGCCGATAGTTGCACAACTCCCATCGCCAGCGCTATGTAAATTACTAAAAAAAATATATAGTTTTATCAAATAAATGCAAAATGGATATCTGCCGCCTGTGTTTGCGCGGAGTGAGCGGCGCCCAGATGTGTCTACAGATCTTCGATGTGGACTCGGCGGAGAACAAGGTGGCGGAGGTGCTGCGGCAGCATTTCTGGTTCGAGGTAAGCGCAAGCCGCCTGCCCCTCACCCACTTGCAATCCATCATGGAAATGCTTTGATTCCAATTCGATCTCTTACCCCGGACAGGTCCTGCCCAACGACGAGATATCCAAGGTCATCTGTAACGTCTGCTGGACGCAGGTGTCCGAGTTCCACCAGTTCTATGTGTCCATTCAGGAGGCCCAGGTGATCTACGCCACCACCTCGAAGTTCAAGCAGGATCCGGAGATGGTGAACACCTCCTGGCCGGAGGAGGTGCTCATGCCCGCCGACGTGCTGGCCGTGGACAACGATGTAAGCGCCCAGCTGAACGTGAATCCGCTGGACGAGCTGGATCTGAGCCAGCCCATGTCCCCGGAAGACAGCAAGGTGGGCATCAAAACGGAGCGGCAGTCCCCCGAATTGGAGTTCATCTTCGAGGACGCCAACAATGATCAGGACGAGGACTACGAGGACGACGACGACGACGAGGAGGAGGAGGATGCCGACGACTTGATTGTTACCCGGAGCGGACGCAAGCGCAAACGGGAGGTGGCCAAGCCGGCCAAGACGAAAAGGGCGGGCAGGAAGAGCAAGGATAAGGTCGTGGCCAAGCGGGGGCCACCCAAGAGGATATTCAAGATGGAGCGGCTGCCACCGTTCTGCAAGGAGGACGAGGAGCTGATCAAGCGCTACATAGTCATGGGCTGCGAGCTGTGCATTTTCCTGGCCGAGGACTTTGACGGCATCCGCGAGCACTTCAAGGAGAAGCACCCAGAGGAGCGGCCCTACATCAAGTGCTGCGGTCGCAAGCTCAACAAGCGCTGCCTCATCCAGGAGCATGCCAGGCGGCACGAGAATCCCGAATACATCAAGTGAGTGTCCCATTCCACATAATGATTTCTCAGGCATTCATTCATTTTCCCCCGCCAGGTGCAAGGACTGCGGCAAGGTGTTTGCCAATTCGAGTGTGCTGCGTGCCCACTGGCTGGTACACCATGTGCCCGACGAGGACTGCGACTTCCAGTGCGAGGACTGCGGCAAGCGCTTCTCGCGGCGCAATCTGCTCGAGCTTCACAAGGGCTCTCATGTGCCCGTCAACGAGCGCAAGTTCATCTGCCCCCAGTGCCCCAAACACAATGCGTGCGTAATTTCCAGTCTGGCGTACAGTTTGCCATGCTAATTTGTATTCTTTTTCTACAGTTTCGCCACAGAGTACCACATGCAGGTCCACATCAGCATGCAGCATCGCAAGGCGGCCAACATCTGTCATGTGTGCGGCAAGAAGATCAAGGACAAGGCCGTCTTCGAGAAGCACGTTCGCCTGCACTTCGAGGAGAGCGGGCCACGCATCAAGTGTCCGCGTCCGGACTGCGAGAGCTGGCTGAAGGACGAGGATAATCTCAAGCAGCATTTGAGGCGCCACAACGACGAGGGCAAACTGTTCATTTGCACGGAATGTGGCAAGAGCTGCAAGAACTCCCGCGCGCTGATCGGTCACAAGCGCTATTCCCACTCAAATGTGATCTACACCTGCGAACAGTGTGGCAAAACCTTCAAGAAGGACATAAGCCTTAAGGTGGGATGGTACCATTGATCACTTAGGGTATTCTCTGACTGAAATAATTGGTCCTTGCAGGAGCACATGGCACAGCACACTGGCGAGCCTCTCTACAAGTGTCCATTCTGTCCCCGCACCTTCAACTCGAACGCCAACATGCACTCCCACAAGAAGAAAATGCACCCAGTGGAGTGGGACATCTGGCGGAAAACCAAGACGGGTAGCTCCCAAAAAGTACTGCCCAGCGCCCAAGTGGCTCAGATGTTCAGGGACGATACCGATGCCGCAGCTATTGCCAATGACTATTCAGCTTAGGCCCAGGAACGCTCAAGGAAGTCGGTCCGCGGATCCGTTGCTTAGTTTTTGATTTACCCTTGTTTGAAAACAAAATATATTTAATAGGAATTATTTGAAACTCAGCTTTCGTTTTTTGATTTGACTTTTGGCCTAAATGGCAAACGAACTTTGTGCGATTTTTAGTCTCTTTCTAAGAAAATCCAACTAAAACGATGGAAGTTTGAATATCAATAACAATTCAAAAATTCCATTTATCCAAAAACGGAAAATCAAATAAAAAAGAGTACATTTAAAAAAAATAGCAAAATCAAAGCCAATACAAAAGTAAAAGCAAAAGAAGAGGGAAATCTAAAGCCGCAGTGTAAATGTCTTATTTTGTGGCCCTTCCAGCACACAAATAATGGTTTGTGTCCGCACTACGTGTAAAGCAGTGGTCTGGTCACACTGGCAGTGACAACAAAAACAGCCTGCGTGGACAAACATAATATTGACTAAAAATGAATGTAAGTTTTTTGTTTTGAACAACAAACCACTTGACAATAAACTCTATCATATCATTTGACCCCCACAGGAGTCCGAGATTCCCATTGACATTCACACGCTGAAGCTGCAGGATTGGCTCATCAGCCGCAGAATCGTGCCAAAGAATGTGCAACAGGAAATTCGGGAGATCCACAAGAAGATCAGTAGCGCCCTGCAGGACATGCCCTCCAATGACCAGCTGATCAAGCTGTTGGCCAGGACGAGTAGGTTCTAGGGTGTGTGACCAAGTGGAGCTACCAACTAATACGGCCTCCTCCTTGCAGATATCAACTACTACCATGTCAAGGAGATCATCGAGATCCTGAAGCAGACGGAAAAGGACACGAAAAGCGTGTTCGGCACATACGGCAGCCAGCGCATGAAGGACTGGCAGGAGATCAGCCGCCTGTACGAGAAGAACGCCACGTATTTGGCCGAAACGGCCCAGATCTTTGTGCGGAATGTGAACTACGAGATTCCCGGGCTGCGCAAGCAGATGGCCAAGCTGGAGCAGCAGACCGACGAGAGCCAGAAGCGAGCCAACGACCTGAACAAACCGGAGAGCCAACTGCTGGCCGAACACGCCGCCCTTCTGGAGCAACTGGGCGTCCGGGGGGACAATCTGCATGCGGAGTTCGTGGAGGTGCTGGCCGGTCTGCCCGAGCTGTACGCCAAGTCGCTGATCGACATCGCTAAGATCCAGCCGGGCATCGATCTGTACGCCGAGATCAGTGGCAACAAGCAGGCGCTGCCCATCCTCAGCCACCTGGTGGAGTTCGGCAACACCACCGTCTATCAGTACATCCACAAGGAGGCACCGCTGGCCGTCGAGGAGCCGCCCATCCGGTTGAACCTCGGCGAGGGCATCGCCAGCAAGGACGACAATGCTGCCACTGAGATTGACTTCGGAACGGACGACAATGGCGGCACCTCTTCGACCGTTTCGGCGGAGATCATCGACTACGGCGACTTTCAGGAGAACGATGGAGGCAACATCGACTGGGGCATCGAGAGTGCTCCCACCGATGCGGTGGAGATCAACTTTGACATTCCCGTCGAGGAGTACGGCATAGTGGTGGAGGGCACAGGCATGGATGGTGGCACTGCCAAGGGTGAGTACTGCATTTGAAGGCATTGAAAGGGAATCCAAGTTATATAAACACTCTGTTTGCCACAGGCGATCAGGCTTACTCCTTGCTCGATTCGCCAAACTATCGGGATCGATTCCTGGATGAAATCTTCGAACTGGAGTCCTTTTTGCGCCTGCGACTCTATGAACTGAAGCAGTTGGAGTCCTCGAGCGACATCATGTTCTCGCTCATGGACAACATTGCCACCCACGACGCGGAGAGCATCCGGAAGATTCTCGGCTCCGTGGAGAAGATCATCCAGCAGACCTCCGACGAGCAGACGCGGCATCTCTTCCAGCTGAAGCACTCCCCGAAGTATGCCAATCTGCTGGCCACCAAGCTGCAGCAAATGACCAAGGCCGTGGAGAAGTTGCGGTCCACGCGGGAGGCGCTCAAGAAGCGGGCCATCGAGCTGCGGGAACAGCGGCAGCAGCTCAATCCCGTCCTGGAGGAGCTGGTTGCCCAGACCCGCACGCTGCAGTCGCACATCGAGCGGGATATCTCCAAGCGGTACAAGAATCGGGTGGTCAATCTAATGGGAGGCGTCAACTAATGGAATTGGTTAGCTGTTGGCTGTTTGTTAAATAATGTTTATTAATAAACCGATAACTGGGCAGGACAAAGATGGCTTTGTACATTTTTTAAAAGAAGTTTATTTTTATTTTGCTATTTTTATTAAATATACAAATTGTATTTATATTGTGTTCTTTCTTTTTAATTGCCATTTTGCTTCTTTTTTTTTTTTTTGTATCCAGAATACAAACCTAATTTTAATGAAGTTTGTTGTTGGTTTCATTTTTTTTTTTTTTTTTTTTTTGTGTTGCTTTTGTTTTGTTCATAAAAGTATGCTTACACATTTAACGTTTTAAACTTTCACTTAAATGTAAAATTCTTATGTTGCTGAATTTGAATAATGTGTAAAACAAGAACAACGCTGTGATTAACTTAAATGTTTGGGGCCTTGTCTTCAATTTAAGGAAATTCATGTTCATGAACAAAATTGAATTATATAAATCGCAAGTAGAATTGGAGGAGAGAGGGGAGCTTCAAAAAAATCGAAAATGCTATAGAGTAGCTATACAAGGTTTGGGTGTAAAAAGCCACAATATGTCGGGGTATACATTGGGATATCAACTAGACTTAGGCACTAATCTAACAAAAGTGTGGCTGGCGGTAATCAGCAGAAAGGCTTTATAAGTATAATCAATTCGTTAACTAAATAGAAAATAACAAGCACTATCGAAAATACAATTAATTATACGGGGAAGAGGCCTCATGATATGGTTACAACTTTGTGTGGCGTCTAGGCCCGGGCTCAAAGCGTCGTGTACTTTTGTTTTCATTTATTTTGTTTTATTTTGTTTTGTTTTGTTTTGTTTTGTTTCCGTTTGTGATGCATGACCCGACCCAAGCTCAAATCAATCATCTACAATACAATATGGGGGGAGGGGGGTGGGGTCTGTCGCGGTTAACATAGATATCATATGTATGAATAAATGTTGGATTGTTTTGGTTATACATCAACGTACGTATTTGTGTAGTGTTGCATTTATAACTTGTATGGTAAATGTTAAATTAGCATAAAATTTGTTCGAAAGTTGCTTGTGGTCTGCCATTATTGTAGTTGCTTATTTCTAATATATATATATATATATATATGTTTCATATAATTTATATATGTATTTATTATTTATAGGTTTTAATTTAATTCTTGCTCTTGCTCTTGCTTTGCTTTGCTTAGGTGCTACTATGTATATGTCTGAATTTATTTATGTATACATGCTTCTGTTTATTTGATGTACTTTGTAAATGATTACATTTTATACACGTATCATAGCGCCGGTCGGATTAGAAATTCTGAGCTCTTTCCGCTCTAATCTTTATGTTATTGCTCTTAATTTCAAAAAAATATGTGGATTGCCCTATCTACAACTCCAACTCGCGTCCACACACATCCACCCTCCCCCCTACACTTACAATCTAAGCGAACTTGTTCCGTTTTCCGTATTCCGTATTCTGTTTCCTGTTTTCGCTTGTTTCTTCAGTGGAAAACATCGCCTCTCTTGGCTGGCTCTGTCCACCAGCGATGGTGGTGATGGTGATTCGGTTGCTGAGCTTGCTGCTGATGATGCTTCGACTGTCAATCGTTCTTCACTGGGTAGTAGATTAGATCCGGCTGTTGGCCATGCGGCGGCATTTGCTGCATCATGCCGCCCATCATGGACGGCAACACACCCTTGGGGTCGTCTCCCAGCATCGAATAGCCCACACCCACTCCGACACCTACTCCCACTCCCACTCCAACTCCCGTGCGGTCGTACACGTTGCTGTGCGGCACTGGCGGGGGCAGCAGGTGCGGATGCAATGGCTGCTGCTGCTGCTGTTGCGCCTGCAGACCATGTGGATGGTAGGGCTGAAAGCTGTTCTGTTTCTGCTGCTCGCTGACCAGCTGATCGCTCAGGTGCTGGTCATAGGCTCCTCCGTACACGCCGCCTCCACTGCGCATCAAACCGCTCGCATAGCTGCCGGCGCCGTGATGCTGCTGCTGCTGCTGCTGAGCCGCCTGTTGTTGCTGTTGCTGTTGCTGAGACGACGCCGCTTGTTGCTGCTGCATCAGGTCGAAATTGTACTCCATTGGCGCGGGATTTGTGTCAATGAGATTCGTGAGTATGCTGCCGATGTTGTTGTAGTTGTGGGGATCACTCGAATTCGCCTGAGCCTGGGCCTGTTGTTGCTGTTGTGCCGCCTGCTGTTGTTGTTGCTGTTGTTGTGGCTGCTGCTGCTGCTGCTGCTGCTGTTGTGGAGTTTGGCCAAACGCAGGCGCCGGCCACATATGCTGGAAGCTCATCAGGTCACCGGCGAGAGTTGGATCTGGTTGCTGCGGTTGAGCGTGTTGTTGCTGCTGCTGCTGCTGCTGTGGTTTGCTTACTGCTTGTTGCTGCTGCTGCTGTGGCGAAGGCGGCACATTCATTGGAAGCCCTAGGAACTCGGCCGACTCCACTATATAGAATTTGTTATCTTTGAGCTCAACCTGCTGGTTGCTGGGTGGATTACCAAAGTTCATGTTGCCCCAGGAGTCGGTGGCCTGTTGCTGCAAGAATTGCTGCTGCTGCTGCTGCTGCTGTTGTTGTTGTTGTTGTTGTTGTACTGGAGCAGGTTGTGGCGACTGCAGTCTCGCATGCTGTGGGGAATGCGAGGGTTGCTGATGCTGCTGCTGCAATTGCTGGGCCGCAGGATGGTGATGCAACGGCGATCGCTGGTTGTGCCGATGTTGTTGCTGCATCATCAGCTGGTGTTGATGGTGCATCGGCGGCATGTGGTGAGGGGAGCTGAAGTGCGGCTGCGGCTGCTGTTGTTGCAGTTGCGAGGGATGCGGCGGATGTGGACTCTGGGGCGTGTGGCTCCTCATGTGCTGCTGTTGTTGGGCAAGATGGTGTTGTTGTTGTTGCTGCTGAGGCTGTTGCTGTTGCTGCTGATACTGGCTAATCAGTTGATGTTGCTGATAAGCACTCGCTGCCGGGTTGGACTCAAAGTGAAATTGGCCATCCTGTCCAAAGCTGTTCATGCGCTGCAGATGCAATTCTCCGGGTGCAACTCTCGGCTGTGGCGGCGGCTGCTGCTGTTGCTGCTGCTGTTGTTGTTGTTGTGTCGGCGGCGGCGTCGGATGTTGCTGATGCAAGGCATTCTGGGGCTGCTGCTGCTGCTGTTGCTGCTGTCCTGGCTGCTGTTTCTCCGCATTAAAGCTCTGATTGTACATGGAATTCTGCTGAGATTCACTCGTCGACACCGAATGCTGTGACGTGGATGCCGTGGAGGATTGCGAGCTGTTGCTACTGACCATGGCCGCATTGAACTGATCCTGCTGCAGGCAGCCCGGAGTCGTCGAGACTGGCGGTGGCGGCGTGGGCGTGGCCGCGGAGCCCTTCTGCTGTTGCTGCTGCGAGGATGCTGCTGCTGCGGCGGCGGCTGCTGCCTGCGCTTTCGCCTTGCTGGTCACCGCCTTTTTGGTGGCTTTCACAGGCGGCGGACCCGGCATATCCGGCAAGCTACCCATTTCGCCTGAAAGGAAATTGTCATATTTTAGCTTTAGCGTTTAAAGGAAACCCTCAGCAATCCGTACCTTCTTCGTTCGTCTTGGGAAAGCGCTGCTTTCCCTTTTTAGGAGGTGGCGGCTCGTTTCCGTGCATTGTCTGCTTGTGACGCACCAGATGCGTTTTCCATTTGAAGGTCTGCAAGGACACCAATAAACAATATTAGAAGTGAGTTATTTGTTTATTTTTTTATTTTTTACTAGTTGCAATAATAATTTAAACTGTGTACTTCGAAAAAAGGGATTATTTAAATTAATTAGGTCAACTCCGAGTGCCTACAATATTATAAAAACTATGGGGTTACATGGGTATTAGGAAAAAAAAAAAAAAATTTTCGATTTTAGTGCTGGTGACATATTTATTTAAGCATTTAAAAAACAAATTCTTTGAAAGAGTAAGGACAAAAAAAAAAAAAAAAAAAAAAAAAAAACGTTTAATACTTTAAAACGCATAATTTAAAAAATATCGTTTTATTTATAGATATAGGCAGGTTGAACATGTCTAAAAACAAATAAGAGTGTCCACTAGTTTCCCAATAAAATGGTCAGTTTGAGTCTCCGAAAATATTTATCTTGTTGATAATTAAAAACAATAATTGTTTTCCCTTCCCTTCACATACAAAACTGCATCTCTAGCCTAGAACTTCAGCCTTCAAATAAACATGCAATTGTAGTTAAGGCCTACCTGATCGCAGTAGTTGCAGCAGTGCGGCCGTTCCTCCGAGTGGGATGGTAGGTGCCGCTGCAGGGATTTGGCCGATCCGAAGCGCTTGCCGCACAGCGTGCACTTGCACTCGGACACGTCGACGTGGGCGTTGCTGTAGTGCTCCTTGAGCGCGGGATATGTGAAGTAGGAGGAGCCGCACAGGTCGCACACGTAGGGCCGTTTGATCTCGGTGTGCAGCTGCACGTGCCGCTCCAGGTTGGCCTTCAGCGTGAAGCGGTTATGGCAAATGTGGCACTCGAAGAAGTTGTCGCGCTTGTGCACGCGGATGATGTGCTGGTACAGGGCGTTCTTCGACTGAAACTCCTCGCCGCACACCTCGCAGATGGCCCCGTCGGCCTTGTGGCCCGTCTCCTCGAAGTGTTGCTGCAGTTTCTTCTGCGGAAACTTTAGCCCGCACTCGGCGCAGGGAAAGGCTGTAAAATAGATAGAATGGGTTAGACGCTGGTTCAAACGCTTTTGGGCAAGGCTGTTGCTGTTTCCAAGGAACTCCGCCTGCCGAGAACTTGGTGAAATTTACATTCACTGCGACTCACTTTTGATTTCCTTCTTGTTGTGCGACTCCACGTGGGCGTGAAACTGCTGTTTGCGCGAGTACGACTCCCCACACGTTTCGCAAACGAACGGGAACTCCTTCACATGCATGGTGCGGTTGTGGTGGATTATTTCCTGAAAATTAATAATATTTTTTATTAACTGTGCAAGTACATATTTCAAAGTTCATTAGTTAATGTTTTAATAATTTAATATATTTAAAATACCTAAAATCTATGAATGTTAATAATAGGTTATATGGCCTTTCTAAACGATTGATATAAATATTTTGAGTCCCGAAGTTTGACACTTTTAGACACTTTTTCCTTCCATATATCAAATTCAATTTTAATATTAAATTTCTTCTGCTTTTAATGTGGTTTTTTGAATCCTAAAAAAATTTCTTATCTCTTTTAGAATTTTTTTGGACAGCCAAACAGTATAACCGCCCACAATGAATGCTGCTTTTTATTTTAAAAACACTTTAGTTGAGAAATACAGAACATTTAACTTTCAGAAACCTATTGAAGTGCTTTGAAACCTTTACAACTCTCTGTAGCCTGCCAAAAAATTGAGTTTAAAGGTTCAGGGCTTTGCAATTATACATTACTAAATATTTTTTTAGTAATTACATTAAAATACTTTAAAAAGTGTAGATATAAATGACACATATCGTTGAATATTTAGGTATAAACCAATTTTGATGAGGCTTTCATTATGTCTGAACTTCTAAAAGACAGTTGCTAATACTATATACTAGATTGATTTGTTTTCTTCCAAACAGTTTAGTTACCTCCAGCGTGTTCCCATTGCGCTGACCGCAGTCGTGGCAATAGCCCGGGTGCATCTTGTAGTGGTCCAGCAGCGACTTGCGCTTGCGATACGACTTGGGGCAGAGCAGACAGTTGTAGCTGGGCTTGTCCTTCTTGCTGCCGGGCGTCTGACCGCCACTGCCTCCACTACCGCTGCCGTGCTGCGAGGGCGGCGCCTGCAGGGAGGTGCTGCTGCTGCTGCCGCCGTCGATCAGTTGCTGCTTGGCCGCGTCCAGCTCGTCCATGTCGTGGTCCAGGTCGTCGTCGTCCTCGTCCGGCGACAAGTCATTGTCGTCCAGCTCCAGCGAGGAGTTCAGTTGACCGCTGACGGGAGGAGTGTCGCCCAAGTTCGACAAGGCTGCCAGGGCTGGCATTTGACGACTGCCCATCATCGAGGTGCCGTGTTGTGGGAAATCCTCCGACATCATCATCATCTGCCGCTGCTGGTGAGGCAGAGCCACATGCTGCTGCTGCTGCTGTTGCTGCTGTTGCTGCTGTTGTTGCATCATGCCGCCCATCATCGACAGGGGATTATTGCTTGAGTTGTAGAGCTTTTGCTGCTGGTGCATTTGAATTTCGCTGACGTGACTCGCCGAACTGCCGCCCGGCATGATGACGTTGGGATTGCCATGCGCCGCCTGGCTGCCCTTAAGATCCCTGCTCTCCATGGGCATGGACATGGGCAAGTGGTGTGATGGTTTCATAGACGCCACCAACTGATCCTGCTCCTGCAGCGTCAGTTGCGGGCGGTGTAGGCTGCCATTGTTGCTGTTGTTGTTATTATTATTGTTGCTGATGCTATTGCTTGACGTAAGGCCGTTGATCACAAGATTTGCACTGCTGCTGCTACTTCTGCAAGCAAAGAAAAAAGTCGGATAAGCAATAGGTAGGTATAGTTTTACACTTCTCAGAAATAAATATCGAAGTCTATTTAAGAAAACTAGAATGAATGTATCTAAACATCCCCAACAACAACATAAGATCGAATACATAAGTGTGTACCAATTTTAAGCTAACATTTTTCCTAAAAAAGTGACACTCTTGATAAAAAAAACAAACTTACAGGTGATGCGAATGATGACTATTGTTCTCCATTATCACACCGCTGATGCCATTCCCATTACCGCCGCTCCCGCTGCCGCTGCTGCTGCTGTTGCTGCTGTGTCCGCTGGCGCTGTTCACGCTGCCCAAGGCACTGCCGGCGCCAGCCAGCATGTCATCGATCTCGGGTTCCATCTCCAGACCATCGATCAGACGTCCCGCGCCTACACCCTCGTCAATGAACTCCTCGAACTTCATAATCTCTTGGGCAGCCGACGACAGCTGCGATTCCGTTTCCGACTCCAGTTCGGAGTCGCCAAACGAGATGGCTGGCAGCTGCTGCCGCTGCTGGATCGCCTCCATTTGCTGCTCCTGCTGCTGCTGCTGAATCTCATCCAGGTGCTGCTCCTGCTCCTGCTGCTGGATCTCCTCCTGATTCTGCTGTTGCTGCTGCTGCTGCTGAACCTCCTCATCCCGCTGCAGTTCGTTCCTCTGCTTCATCAAGATGACCAACTGATGACGTTCCTTTTGGCGTCGCCACTCCTCCAGCCGCTGCTCGCGCAGCTCCTTCAGCACCCGCGCCGAGGGCGTGGTGCCCAGCAGGCGTCCATTCACAACAAAGTTCTCGTAGAACTGCCGGAGAAATGGCTTGTGGTGCTGGCTGAGCGCCAGGCGGAGCAGAGCCCGGAGCTGGGCCTTGAAGGCCCGCTCGCTGAACTCGCCGGTGCTGTGGTGATACCGCATCGTGTACTGGCTGTCCTCGTGAAAGACGTAGCCCTCGCCCAGCCGGCTGTGCTCCTCTTTCCGCCGCACACTCGTCACGGTCAGGTGCATGTTGTTGGTACGCTTGCGCTTCACCAGCTTGCCGTCGCTGCTGTTGCTGTTCGCCTCCTCGTCCTCGTCCTCGCCCAGCTGGTCCTCGTCCACGAAGGTGGCCGCATACTTTCGCTTGACCAGCAGCGAAACGCCGGTCTGGATCAGGTCCAGCGGATCGCCGGGGCCCAGGGCCAGGGCGTCCACATTGTTGCCGGCATGGAACTGCAGGGAAGACGAGTTCTGCGTGTCCGCATCGTCGAGGAAGTCCTCCTCCTCCTCCTCGAGGCACAGGAACTCCTCCTTGCAGAGGATCTTCTCGAAGTTCTGGTTCAGATCCGTCGATCCCGCCTCCTCGTCGTCGTTCTCGCGTTTGATCTCCGCCTCGCAGCCGGTGCCAGGCTCCTTCTTCTCCTTCTTGGCGGTCAGCAGCAGCTGGAGCTGCTTCGTCCTCGCTAGCTCAAGCTGCTGGGTCCTTCCGTCGCCACCGCCACCGCCACCTCCGCCACCTGCCCCGCCGTTGTCATTAGCAGCAGCTATGTGACTGAACAGATTCCTGACGACTTGGTCGCAGGCCTCCGGGTACTTGCACTTAAGCGTCTGCAGCAAGAATTGAATAGCATCGCACCGCAATGCCGTGTTGAGGCTGTCCAGTAGATTTAGTGATTGATCCACCTGAAAAATAATATAATAATATAATATATAAATGATTTCAAAGTTTTGCAAAATAGCAAAGATACCGTTATAGGTTGTAAGATTGTAAAGAAAGAATTCAAAACTTAGTTTTGTTCTAATTTAAAATAACAAGATGAATTGATCATGCCATTTGCACTTTTAACTAACCTTGGCTGGTCAATATCTTCCCAAATCATTTTACTGAAAATTAAAAAATCCTCCGATTTCGACAAAATAAAATGTTTACTTGAGTTCACAATCTCAATGTAATTTATTTATTGATGAAACAATGTTGTTCTTTATTATTCGAAAATCATTATTTATGGTGTCCATTTTAAATTCAATCTATGAATGGATTATGCATATCTAAACTGGATTGCTTTCTTTAAAAATTTGTTTTGAGCCCACTGTGCTTAAATTATTGCGCTAGAGGAAAATAAATTACCAACTTCCGTTTAAAGCCGCCCATTTCCATAGGGAAAACAACAACAAACTGCGGAATGTGGTGGGTGGGAGAGACTGGTAGGGTTGCCACCTAAATACGGGATATTTGTTATTCCCGTTAAAGACCCAATTAGAATCGTCATTTGTTTCAATTAAACGGCCGAACTCTCTCAGAAACACACCACACACACACGGTGATGGAAATAACTGTCGTCAAACACAATTAGTGATTATTATTTTCCAAACAATTTAATGCAATTAGAGCAGGAGAGTGGGGGAGAAGGAAAAAGTGAGAATCGAGAGAAGTGGGAGAGAGCGCGCCTGCTTCAATGAAACGTAGACAGCACGGCGACAGCGACGTCGACTGCGCTGCCCGCGCAAGCGATTAGCACACACAGAGAAACAGCAAGCGAAGATGGCGAAAAATAGAAAAGAAAAACAAAAACAGCAAAAGCGGAGGCAGAGAAATTAAAACAGCGCACAATTTGTGCTACTTTTCCTCATTCCACAATGTTGCTATTATGTATGTATGTTTGTCCGCCGTGTGAGTGTGTTTGTGTATTTGCAGCGATTTGTAGTCGTTACAAACACAATGTGGGGCTGCTCTCTTCCCTCTCTTCGCTTCTAACCCATCCACCCACTGTGCGAAAAGGAGAGGGAAACAATGGTGAGGAGCCGTAGGGGGAGGGCGGGCGGCGAAAGAAGAAAATGGGGGGCACTAAAAGTAAACGACGTCGCAACCCTGAAATGCTCTAAACGCCTTCCAATACCCTACCTTTTCACAAATTCATGTTTGGTATTGTTTTTAGATTTAAAAAAAAACATAGGAGTGGATTAGTAATGTTTTGAAATTTGATATTTGGTACCGTAATTCTTGGCCTTTCAATATATGAAAAAAATATGTTGAGCATTGAAATGGCAAAGGACATGTTGCTTCTTACATACATAGTTGCTATAATTCTATCTATCTGTTAATGATTTCTTTTCAATGATCAAAACTTTTGTTTAAATCTGTTGTAATATACAATTTTTGTAGTTAACATCTTGTTCAAAATTTAATAAAAGCCAAGGATACGGCTTTGAACAAATTTTTAAGGGTCACTAATAACAACTATATAGATATCCATTTAAAATTAGCTTAAGGCAGTAAGGGAGAACTTTAGAATAAGGTCATCAGGTTTATAAAAAAAAAGTGAGAAATTCCCAAAGTTCTTGAAAAACATCGAAATCTAGCAAATTGTTCCCATCACAGCTTTAGGATATAGACGTCCGATCAGCGGAGTTTTATAACTAAAAGTACGTGCAACTATTAACAGAGAAACCGAGAGAAAGACATACATACTTATAATGACTATAATGACTCCCACAGTTAGGCTTATCAATGTCGTGTCGAATATGTCACCTACACTACGTTACAAAGTTTTACCACAATTATGATACCATTTATAAAAGTTTTAAATTGTTGTTTTTATCAAAATATATTTTGAAGTTGCTATCTGGCCAAATAACAGTATGGACTTACACTGCAAGGAAATAAAATCTTCGGCGTGCAGAATCTAACCCTTTTTTAAAAATATTTTTGTTAATTACCACGTATTAGTTATTACTTTTAAGATTTTGGTTTGGCAAAATATAAAATATTTACTTATAAGTAATATTTCGGAACTCTAAAGGTATAATTTATTTATAGTTGTTCTTGAAATTTGTTGATACATACATATATACAAAATCTACAAAAGTAACCTTTAGCTTAAAGGTAAAGAAATGGAATCAATTGGTTTGTTTATGACGTTTATTTTAACGGATTAAGCTGGCTATAAAGCGATTATAGCAACAGAGAAATACTTTCTCCTAGTCAAACTGCTTTAAATCAATCAACTTGAAATAGAAACAAAACGGTAATATTTGACAAAAGACTTCGAATTCAGTCTGCTGATCGATGGTTACTACTTATGTACATATGTAAGTATGTACATATATAATTTCCCCTTTCTATCTGTGTGGCAACGCTGGGGGCTGTGCGTTTTATTTGTCAATAAAGTTGTTGTAAATTTAGATTGCAGATAACGAAAACTTAATACAAGTACGAGCACATGGGCATGTAAGCATTTATAAACTTAATTCGTGTGTTTGTGGGGCAAGAGAAAACGAGAGAGCTGAAAAGCGGGATAGAAAAGGTGGGATAAAGAGCCTAAGAAAAGTACAATGCAAGAGAAAAGCAAATGCCATATTTAATTAGAATTTTTTGTGTTCTAATTAAATGTTAGTTTGTGTGCGAGTATGTGTACGGTTGTGTGAATTTATGCTCGTATCTGTGTACTTGTGTTTATGAGAACTAAAAATACACAAGTTGAAAATATTTTGTCTGGATTAAAATCATTTTTTTAAGGGGAAAACCCTTGGAAGGTGCGGACTGTTCGATAAATGAATTTTTCGCCATGATTTATTCCGCTTTAGTTGCTGCACAGAAATATTTAGTTCGTTTGCAATTGTTATGTACCTGTTCATTTCTCACATAAAGACCCAAAGAGCTATCTTCAAAATACTTATGTACACATGAGCACATCTACACACAAACACACTCACACATTTAGTGTTCGGATGGGTGAACCATAAGAAAGGGGGAGGTGGGGAGATGACGTTGGCTGCATTTTTAGCAAAATTTATGTTATACATTTCGTGCTCGCCATCTCCCTCGCACTTGGACACACAGTTCTCAAAGTGGAACTCACACACACACATGCGTTCAAATAGTTGTACTAATCAAATAAAAATAGCATTTACATCGCCCTCTCTCTTTCCATTATTTTTCAGAGTTTTATTAATGAAATTGGCACAGCAAAACACAGTGCAATCAATTCAAGTTCCAAGTGGAAGGGATGGAAAAACAAGACACTCAATCCATGTCGTTAACTCAATTAAGAGCGATAAAAACTTTAATTGTTTTACTGCAAAACGGAATTAATTAAAAAGCACACAGAGTGTTCCTATTCAAGTGGAATGGGATTTTTTAAATTGTTTTTGTGCTCATTAAGTGCACTTTATTTCAGTGAAATGTTTAGCTTTAATTATTTAGTTCATTTTAATGCAATTAAATCGGTAAATTAAAATCTTATTGACCACTTTCTTTTCTCTTAATTACAACAACAACTTGCTCCACTGTGCAGTGCTGTTTACTATTCTTCTTCTTGCACTTGTGCTTTGCTTCGTACATTCGTACTCGATTACCCCATCTCGCTCGCACCTGCATATGAAATGCCTCGAATTTATATGCATGCAAGAGAAAAAGAGAACTCCCCCATTCCCTCCCCCTTCCTCTCTCACCATCCTTCCCACTTCGCCCCACAAACAACAACAACACACACACACACACACATTTAAAGGAGGAGGGAGAGCGAGAAATACAATCAAACTCTTGCTCTTGGGGCTCAATTTGAGATTTGTTGTTGTTGTTGCTGTTGGATTTTGTAGTATTTGTAGTATTAGTATTTATGTAAATGTGCGCTTTGCTTGTGTGGCCAAAGTAAATGTAAATGTTGTTATAAACTAATAAAAATAAAAATAAATATTTTCTCGAATATAACGAAGGAAAACAAAACAAAAGTGAATAATAGCAGTGATGAAATGGGTCGAAAAGTGGGGAGTCAAAATGGAAAGAGGGAAAGGAGGGGGACTACAATTCATTTTAGAGGCAAATAGAAAAAAACAAAAATAACATTATGTGGCACTCAACGAAAGGGGGAAAGAAAGGGGGAGAATGAGAGGGGGCGCAGAAGGAAAGAGGAGGTAAATGGAAATGGGAGTGGTATGGGTTTGCCTTTGAATAGGGATAGTGGGAGTGGGCGGGATGGAGCAAAAGACTCGGCGGAAGTTCACACAGACGCACTGTGTATGTGTGTTTTTTGTGGGTGGGTGGAAATTGTGCAAGAAGCGATTGTGGGGGCTCTAAATCAACGGAGCTTTTAAAATAATAAAGCAAACAGAAATAGAGGGAATTTTTGAGAACCACCCTTCGTTTGCCAGCTACACTCGCCGAAAAAATACGTTGCATTTGCATTTGAGGTTACTCATATTTGAACCGCAAATTCCCGCTCAAACTCATTAGCTGCGTCTCTTTGTTTACTTCAGGTGCTTCGTAGTTCCAATTGGAAGGGGGACAGAGCGCGATTTGAATGGAAAAACTAAATTCGGTTTTATTTTAATCACAGCGACCTTTTCACATTACAGCAACAACAAAAAACAATAACAACGACTAAAAAACAACAATAAATACGGCCAGTGCACACTGTACTTCATTTGTTATCTGTTCCTCCACCTCCTCCTCTTCTATCGCGCTCTCGCTGCCGCTCTCTTCCTGGCCTACGCATTACACGTTGTTTTGCTGCTCTCTCAATTAGACAGTCGCAGTCACACGGAATGTAGACTCCTCACGCACACACAAACCAGCTGCCTATGTATGTGTACTTGATATGATGATGGGTAGGGGAAAAGGGGAGGGGGTAATGGTAAACATTATTTAATTACCAGTAATTTAAAATCCAACTGTGTAGTTTTGTTATCCATTTTGTTGTTGGCTTCTGCATTTGGCTGAATTTTATTTTTACGTTTCACTCTCTCACACACACATTCACTCACACACACACGCGCACAGAATCTCACTCGCTCGCACACACACGGGTGCGGGTTTTTTTTATTATTTCGATTTTTCTTTTAGCCCCTGCTTCGCGTTTCTTCTTTTGCTTCTTTGCTGTGGCTCAGCTCTTTTTTTTTTGTGTTATTCCATTCTCCTCTCCTTTGCTTTTGGCTTTTCGTACGTCGCTCTCGCTGTATTGACACAACATTGAGAAATTCCCATTGGTTTTTTTTCACATTTTTACGGTTAATGGGCGAATTCGCAGATTTTGTTATTGCATAAAGCAAGAGCACAGGGAATATTTAACAACCTATTTAGCTCTAGGCTGCTTGCAACTTTCTGTGGCACACACACGCACGCACACACGCGCGCATGAAAAAATGTTTTCCAATCCTTCGTTTTCGCCACGCGTTTTTCCCGCTTTACTTTACTTGCTAATTACAAGAAAAGCCCTTCATAGAAACCGATGAACCGTTAGTTTAGCAAGTATATTTGAATCTTTTTTTTTAACAGCAAATAAAAAGCGACGGAATTTTTCTCAAAATGTTTTGTACGGTCTGGCGTTGCCAGAGTGGTTCGTGGCTTTGGCGTTGCCAGACTGGTTCGTGCCGTTTTGTCGTTCACACCGATATTTGAGCGTACATTTTTCAGTGCTGAAAAACGTCCATTTCGTTATAATTCAGTGTTTCGCTGTGACGGCCAACCTACGATGCCATTCACACAGAATTCAATTTGCTCTTGCGAGCCGTTTTGTTTAACTTTCAGGCAATCTTTTTCGGCTGGAACACACCCGCCACCTTCCCTTCTAGGTCAATAGTTCTGCTGGAGTTTCTGGAATTCATTACCGAAAGCCTGAGAGCCGGGTAGCAATTGAAGATACCGGAAACTTACACCTATGTGGTGTTTCTCGCCTTTCCTACCGACAATTGTTTGTACCGCATTGGCCGGCTGTATGGACTTTGCTTCGAAATCCGCGTTATGGCCATGGGACATCGTCTTCTTTTGGCTCCAAGGAACGGGAACCAGGAGCATCACCTTCCGGGACTACTACTCCTTGGACTTCCCCAGAGAACTGCATGAAACTTCATCAAGGCAAATCTGGTTTCGACGCAGTCAGCCATGGAGTGCATCCTTGCTGTATTCAATGCTTTGCCCCTCTTGCTGCTCCTTGCTCCCAAGCTAATCACGGGAATCAGTGCCAAGTAAAGCATTGGGATTCTATCTGCTGACGATCTGATACGTGATAAGTGGTGCTGGTACTGGTACCAGAAATCATGCTCTGGACTGCATCTTATGCCAAAAAATATTTGAGACAAATGCATATTGTATATATGTATAGCCTTTACCCAAAAGAAAATGCATCTTGAATCTATTGATTTTGCCGTCCCCAGTGACAGCACACCCATCCCTATGGGCAGAATGATTGTGGCTTTTTTGAAATTTTATTTCACACTCTCCGAATACAAAAATGAGGATAAACCCTTAATCAATAATTATGCATCCTAGGGATTACTTGGCCGGCTGCTTGGCCTGCTTCTCCTTCTTGGCAGCCTCGGCCTCCGCCTGCACCTTGTTGTATTTCTCGATCAGCTTCTCCACATCGGGCTTCTCCAGGACACTGTATACGGTGGCGTTATCCACGCGCTGCAGCGTGGCCATCTCCACCTTCTCGGGGGTCAGCTTGGTGGTGTCCAGGGTCATGCTGAGCACCTTGACGGCCAGGTCCTTGGCATCCTCCAGCGTTAGCTTAACATTCTCCTTGTCCGCCAGCTCCTGTTTCAGCATGGAGATCGCCGCCCCGAAGTTGTTGCCAATGCAGGTGGCCTTCCAGCCGCCGTAGTTGCCACTCGGATCGGACTGGTACAACTGGTAGCCGTACTTGTTGTCCCATCCCATGTACAGCAGCGACACTCCAAAGGGTCGCTTTCCGCCGTACTGTGTGTACGCCTGTTTGATGTCGCACAAATGCGACACCAGCTGCTCGCAGGGAATCACCTCGCCGTAGCTGAACTGGTAGCGCTGGGCAATCAGACGCAGCTCGGCGGTCAGCACGTTGGCATCGGAGGTGATGCCCGCCACAGAGCAGACCATGTTCCTAAGGGGCGAAAAAGGTTTTAGTTCGGTGGTAGATTAATAAATCAGTTAGATGAAGTAAAATGGTCATCCAGGACTCCAGGTCCTTATTAAGGTACATCTTGTGGTTGTAATTACAAAGGGGAAAATTAAAAAATTTCACTTCCCCGCTAAAAAAAAAGTTAGTGAGTCGTTCTTTTTCTCCTATTTGGCACTTCCCAGGTTTGTAAAGTTAAAAGTCTATACATATATTTTTAGATTTATACAGAACACTATTAAATGTGAAAAAACGAACTTAGACTCTATATATTCGTTAATTTTGCAGAATTTGGAGCAGGAACTTAAAGTCATGGGGATATTTTGTTCTTTTAAATGTACGGCATGTTTTCAGTTCTAGAATATATTTGTTTCAGAGGTTTGGATGAAAGTTTAGATATGAAAACATTCTTACTTGTATGGAAGTATGTATATCATAGATAAACTTAGCTGATTAAATGTAATTCCATTTGCCCCAAAAGGAAGAAGTCGAAAATCACTCTGCGTTTTTGCAAAATCATTAACTAATGCAAATTTGAAGCCACTAACTAGAAAAAATAGTATCGCTTTATGTATAACCAGACAAGTTTTTTAAACCAAGTATTTCAGAGTATTTCAGAGCTTGGAGGCCCAACTTACTCATTCAGGCGGTAGATCTTCTCCGAGGGAATGGCGCTGTCCAGCAGTTTGTTTGTGCTGCGGCACTCGGCGGCCAAAAGGATGCCGTCCTCGGCCAGGATTCCCAGGCAGGTTCCGGCGTGGGAAATGGCCTCCATGGCGTACTCCACCTGGTACAAACGGCCCTCCGGCGAGAAGATCGTGGTGCGGGAATCATAGCGGCGCGCCTAACAAAACAAAGGGAATGCGTATATTAACACGTGTATGATCCTTTCAAGACCATGGGCCTGATGGCCTTAATCGGACCAACACCGGTCACCTGAGCCCCTTACTTACCATTGCTAACGAATATTCTAATTTACAAGTTTATTTTGCAAAACGAACAGAAATTACTTGTCATTCAGTGTAGGGTTGCCAGATGGAGAGCGTCCAAATGCGGGACCAGGGTTGCAAAGTCAAATTCTTGATTGCGTTAGTTCGTTTTTTAAGCTGTTTTGGTATTTTAGTTTTAGTGGTGGACAGTTATGTTAAAATATGTCAATAGTTACACGATAGTAGATGGATTGAACTCTACATGTCGAATGTAGAGGAATTCGAGGAAATTGCTTTAGAAAAGCAACAAGTCGAGGATTGAATTTCTCAACTTATTTATTTAATTTCTTAAATCTGTGGGTAAAAGTTTAAAAATGCAGTAATTCAAGTGTAGTTGTCTAATTGCGCAAGCATCTTTATTATTATTATATCGTCAAATTTCGTCCAATAGTATTGTCACTAATAGCGATGCTTAAAACAATCGATGGTATCGATAGTGAATCTGCTTGCTTTGTTGTATTTTAAAAACATGGGCGATCTGCTGAGCGTGTGTACAAATACACATTTAATTCTTTAAATTACGGTTAATAACGCATTTATTTTGCAGAACTCGTTGTTTAAAAAGCTGGGCGTGGACCACTCGAATCAGTGGATTCTCTACGAAGAGCCGATGGAAAAGTTCTTCAAGTTCCTGTCGGAGAACATCTCGGATGAGAATATCCTCACCGAGCGGCAGGTTCTGGAGCGGAAGGAGATGCAGCAGCGGGGCGAGTGGCTGGGGGAATCGGAGCGGGAGCTGAAGCTGGCTCAGATTGAGTCGGAAAGTCCGGGCCTCCTTGTTTTCACACAGCAGGATGTCGACGCCTTGACCATGGGGATTGAGACGATCAAGGAAGCCTCGAGGGACTATGCCGCACTCCTGGAGGACATGTTGTAAGGAATTTGCTTCTGGCTTTGGGATTTGCAAGCCACAGGTCTAATTTCACATAAATCTGTTGCATTTTAATACAGTTAATAATTTTTTTCTGAATAAGGGTCCTTTTTTTCCGAACTTTATATGCTCTCCGATATTTTTCTTGAGCGAACTGGAAGTGAATATAAACAATTTGGATTGTAGTCAAACTTTACTTTTAAACTGCCAATGTAAACACAACCATTCACATGATTACTTAACACTAGTATTCTTTTTCAAAGTTTTAACAACTCTTTAAGGAACGGAAGGAATTCCCTAAGACTTCCAATATACACAAACTTTTGTTTCTTTCGGATAAAATATTTGAACAAAATACTTTTAAATCTAATACCTTCCCTATATCTAATACCTTCCCTGTGCAGAAACACGAAGCACTCGATAAGCAACCATCTGAGCGAGGTGGAGTGCACTGTTTCGGAGCTGCAAATCAAGGAGAAGGATCTGATTGCTGAGTGCCAGTCCAAGGCTAGACAACTGGAGGAACTGCAGCGGGAGAACTGCCGGCTGAGCGGCGAGGCCAAGAAAGCCTTTACATCGCAGCAGCTGCCGCCCCTTTTCATGCATCAACTACATCTGGAGCAGTATTTCCACAAGTGCGATTCGTTCATGCAATATTTTACGCTGTATGTGAAGGAGAACTTCAAGATCCAGGACTACGATGAGTTCCAGAGCGCGGAGGCAGACCTTTTGCGTGAGAAGAGCAAGTTGGAGGACTTGCAACTTGGGTAAGGACCAAAGTCCTATGACACAAGCAATACACTCGACTGATTCCTCTTTTGCAGCATTCAGTTTTATGCTCTGTCCTACATCAGGACAAAGGCCAAGGCAAAGGCCACGCAGGCTCTGATCGACCAGCTGGATCTTGGCCAAATTCAGTGCCATAGTTTGGCGGATATGGCGCGAGAAATGCATGATCTGCAGCTGCTCAACGAGCATCAGCTGAGCAACATACACGATACGCTCTTAAACGATCTTACCATTCACATTCAGCAACATACTCAGCGGCGTATTGAATTGGTTCTCTTCGAGAACACCAAACTGAAGTTGGACCGAGCGATGCAGCGTCACGAGAGCGACAAGAAGCTGACCAAAATCATATCGGATGCCTTGTCTAATGCGGAATTGCTGTGGATTGCGATTCAGCTGGATTGCGACAAGAAGCGCAACTGTTTGGACACTTCAGAGGAGTTGCGAATCGAGACACAGGCCACCTGGCAGAGAATTCAGACAATGCGATCCATCAATGCCAGCCATCAGGGTATTTGTGCCCAGTTCGTACATGAAATTGCCAGTCTGTTGTCAGCCCATCTTGGGCAAAATGTAAAGTCCACCGAGGCCAAGGCTTGTATTTTTGAATACGAAAAGTTCGGGCGTCTGCTTTCGTACTCTTTTCAGAGCATGCTCGATAGGAAGTCCTGTGTCACTGCCAGGGATCAACTGGCTGAATTGTGAGTTGGAAACTCCTTTCTTCTGTAACTCAGTAACATTCAAAATTATCTTTTAGAGAGCGCTTGGAGCAGACTCTTCGACCCTTTGTCTACAATTCCCCCCTTGTGCAGCCTATGTTCGAGAATGTGCGGTATTTGGGCGCCATTTACAATGTCACCCAGCAACAAAGTCGTCTCGATGAGGCTGTGCGATCCCTGCGCACGGATTTCCTAGAAAACGTCGTCGGGCGCATTGTAAGTTTAATTTTGGCCAAAGTCGTAGCATCAACGCCGTTAATCAATTTATTTATTTCGATCATTTAAGGAGAGGGATAAGCTTTGGCGCTATAGCGTGCTTCTATGGATTTGGTTTCTCACTGAACCGCAGCGCGTGATATATGCAATTGACGAGGTGAAAAAGGCAGCCGCTGCTGTAGCCCGCCCTGGTGGCGGTCTGCAGCGTAAATGAATGTAGTTGACAGCGAATCTGGTCAGTCAATGAATGTTAAGTTAATCAAAAAATGTATACAATTTGAAGAAAATTTGTCATTTTTGGAATTATTAATAATGAACTATTGTTTAGTTGGGAGTGGCTGTGGAAATGTGGTTTTCTATATCCTTGTACTGAATTTGTGGATAATAGTTTAGAGTAATTTAAATGGACTCCACGCCATCAGCCTCTTTCGGTAACTCTTTCAACAAAATTAAAATAAAACAGAATTTATAACCTTATATGCACCTTCCAATTATACCATTTGTATAATATATTAAATTAAATAACGTCTTAACATTTACCTTAAATATAAAAGTACCGAATATATTAAGGCAAGGACTCCCTGCATTGTTGCTTGCTATCTATTTTTAATTCTTCTCTATTAGCACAATTAAACACTCTTATTTTAAAACCCATCTCTGGTTTACCCGTCCACATTCAACTACAAGATGTCGGTTCCGGATTGACATAACTTTATTTGCAATTAAATGCACCCTTCAAACTGCTATTTTCTTGGATTTTTACTAAACACCAGGCAAATTAAGACACTGTCGTCTTAAAGCAGTCTACACGAGGTCCACCGAAGAGACACATTAATTGCTGGAGGCACGCGACGGCGTTTCCAAACGACTGCCATTCAAATGAGTCCGATGAGCAACAAGTGAGGCCATAAAACCTTGCCCGCCTAACCTAGAGATTCACTTTCCGGCTAGACGAAGCCAGTTGGCCAGCGAATTGCTGGCCTCCCATTGGCCCAAAGCGATTCGGCTGACAGGACGAATGGTTCCGAGCCGTGGTCCTGGCATATATAAAAGGACCAACAGTTTTGGCCGCTGCCTCATTCGATTGACGTGCTTCGGGCAAGATTTCCCCTCTTATCCTTCGGTGATACAACTCGGTACGGTAAAGTGAAGTGTTTGTTTTTAAAAAATTAAAAAAAAGTGTATTAAGTCTTTGGGAACTTTTAATTCTTTAAGTTCTTTAAGGACCTTTAATTTAAAGATGTGCCGAAAGGACCGAAAACAGCTTAAACATTTTCGAGCTTTAAGTGGATAATTATTTGCGCCTCATTACTTCTCATTGCAATTTGAATTAATTTCAAATTTCCATGAAACCCTTGAAAACTAAGAACTGCGTGTGAATATTAAAGATCTAGGAAGATTTTTGGGCCAGAGAATAACCATAAAATTAAATCAGTGGATGGATGTGCTTTTATGTGATTAATTTTTAAATTGAATGCTTTTTGAGATAATTGATTCTTATTTTCACTGTAATAAATCTCTGCGATTTCTTTGGTCCAGTCATGTATTTGAAGGCTCTGGAAATTGATGTTTGAAATTAAATTAACGTTACTTCTATAAGTTGAATTAAAATATTATTAAAATTACAAATTATTATCCTTTTATTTAAGAACTGTAAGGGCAATTGGTTTGCTGATTAAAATTGTTGATCAAAAAATTCTATTTATAATTTCTTTTTCTATATCAATTAATTTGAATAAATATCTAATAGACTTCAGTTTTTATATTACAGTATATTTTTATGTACATAACTACGGAAATGTAGAAAGTTAAACAAATTCCTTAAATGTATTTCAAACATCAATGTTAATTATAAGAAGCAGATAACTTTTGCAAAATGAGTGGCTGTGATGGGATAAAATATTTCTTTTGAAATAGTCATTTGCTTGGGAAGTCCTCGAAATGCACCTGTTTCGAATCAGCATCCACGCGTCCTTCCTGCTGTTCGTCGGATCCTTCAGTGCCCATCCCAATCCCAGGCGCAACGAGATCTCTTGGGAGGACGTGAATAAGGATCTGAGTCTGGATACCACCACGTCGATGGCGGGGTATAATGGCAATGATACGGGGCCAGAGGTGAAAGTGTTCGAGAGGAGTAGGGAGTCCAAATCCCTTCAACTTCCTAGGTACACTGAAGTGGGCGAAATGGGCCAGATGCGTGTCTACAATGTTGGCGTACTTATGGCCTCTCATTTGGGTAAGTGCGTGGCTTTGGCATTTGGTTCTAACATTGTTGATGACCTGACCACTGGCCATTGGCTATTACCAGATTCCCCATTCGATCTGGAACGCTGTGGACCGGCCGTGGATTTGGCCTTGGAAGAAATCAACAAGGTATTTCTGAGGCCCCACAACATAACGCTGTTGAAGAAGAAGGGCAGGTTAGTGCAGCAACCTTTATTAGCAATTAAGAAGAACACCTCGAGTTCGACTATATTACATATAAACGTACAAATTACCACTTCCAATATATAACGTATACGTACTGTGGGCAAAAAAGTTGAAGTACACTTTGCATTAAAACTACAAATTAAATGTTCGTAATCGTATATGTCCAATAAATTAGGAACCACCTAAATGTGGTTTGTTTTAAGGATAAATACTTGCTCTTTAATAATTTTTGTTATATACAAATCGGATAATTTTTTGGAAAATGTTGAGCAATGTTCATTATTTTAATGACTAATTAATTATCATTATGATTGCAAAGGACTTGGACCTGTTGTCTTGCTTTGTACAATTTTTTTTTTATATATTAAGCTGTCTCAAAGTATTTATTAAATGTTTCTGTAAATCGTATACAAAATTCCGGTTTGCAAGTTGGTTTTGCATATTTAACTTTCTAGCCGACCCTCTGTTTCCCCATTTTAGCTACCCATCGTGCTCGGGCGCCCGGGCTCCGGGACTTGCTGCAGACATGCACTTCCAGGACGACGTAATCGCCTTCATTGGACCAGCCTGCGCCTTTGCCCTTGAGCCGGTGGCACGTCTGGCCGCCTATTGGAACACACCCATCATCACCGGCATGGGGGATCAGGTGAGGATGGGAGAGGATTCCCGAGTCGCGTGTCAAGCGACGCAGCACGCCGCTTTCAATTATGTGGCCTCCGACCCTGAAGAATACGGAAGCCCAAGCTTAGCTTAGCTCCACATCCGGACTCTATCTCTGCCGTACCCCCACGCACAGCCACAGCCAGAAGCAATCACATTTAGCCGTCTTAATTGCCGTGGTCGTACTCTTGACATTGGCAATTAAATGGTTTTCGGCTTGCTCTTTAATTTGCATTTAAGTTTTCCCGTGTTATTGACAAATGGCATTTTCCCCCTCGCCCACCTGCTGCCAGCCACCTTCCTCGGAAGGTGAGCTCACGGTGACTTCTGGAATCCTGGGAAGGATACATAAGTGGAAGAATGAGAATACGGTATGTCCTGCATGCAATAGAATTATCAATATTCTTGAGACACTTTAATGTCTATTCGATATTGATAAACTATAACTACACATTTTACAAAACCCTATTATCTAAGCAACTCAAATTAAAAGATTTAATGGATTTAATGGAGTTTTGTTTGACACCTCAACACATTTGCCTGGCTTGAACCATTCCTGGCTTGAGCAACGGGCTACTAGCCCTCTCGATACTCTTACTCCTTGCAGGGCATGTTCAAGGACAAGTCCAAGTACCCAACCCTCACCAGGATGTCCTACTGCCAGTGCCGGCTCATCCTCGTCTTCGCCAGCGTCTTTCGGCAGTTCAACTGGAAGCATGTGGCCCTGCTAGTGGACAGATCGGAGCTCTTCTCGTGGACAGTGGGCAAGAACCTGGAGTACGGACTGCGGCAGGAGGGACTACTGAGTTTTGTAAGGGAGCTCAATGGGAATGAGGAGGAGATCTACGAGAACTATCTAAAGGATGCCAGCATGTATGCAAGAGGTGAATTTGGGGCTACAGGATATACACCATATACACTCTTAAGTACTCCTAACAGCCAGTCAACAAAATAGTCCTTGCAAAAAAGCTTTTTCATAAACTGAATATTTATATGTTTATTAAATTTAAATGAAGTAAGCCAACTTTAAATGTCTTGTATTCGCGTTTTCTTCATTGAAGTATTAACTCTTGTTTATTGTTATAAAAACATTTTTAATTGTAAAAACTTAGGGTTAACTCTCAATGATTTGCCATTACACAAACCTGTTTTTACTTTTCCATAATATTTTACTTTATTTTAATTGGACAAAAAATAGTAAAAGATAATAATTTAGGACTTTAGGTGTTTTTTTTGGTCAAAAAACAAAATCCGAAAGAGTTCTTTCGTTGTAACTTGGACAAAATTAGACGTATAGCCATAAGAGAGACTGTTTTGCATAGTTGGCGACCTACACTACCCATCCACAATCGGTTTAGAAAAATGAATTTTGTTTTGGTGCAAGAACAGATTTTTAAAAATCGATTTTTTTAAGAAATTCATTTTATGACCTATTTTTGCATTTTTGATAAGGGTGGGGGTCATCAATTTTTTCAAAAATCTGAAAATCTGAAAAATTTTTAACTGCGAATGCCATTTGATAGTCAATTTAATGACGAATTCAGCGATGTTTGACATTCCATCATTTGACTATTACTTCTCAGCGTTTCGATATAAAAACTGAATTTTTGTATTATATACTATATGTCGCATATTCCAAAGACATGGTCAATGTTGTTAGCCTTAGACTTTTTTTTGTAATGCGATACCAATCTACAAGTCTTTTTCAGCAATAAACCAATTAAGAAATTTAAATGAAAAAAGCTACATAAATAAAAAGTGGTTATTTACTCTTAAATATCATTGAAAATGGTTCGTGGAAATTTCAAAAGAATCGGTTTTGTGATCTTCTGTATTGTTAAAAGTAGTTAATGAACACATATTTTTTTATACAAGTTGTTATATTAAACAGAGGAAAATTAAATTGATGTAACCCATATACAAAATTCGGACTTAAACTGCTTTAGGTTGATAAAAAATGTTTAAAAATAAATTGCAAAAATTTTTACTGTTGTTACTTACTAACAAACCTCTTTCTGCTTTCCAAAACGGCCAGTTGTGATCCTGTCAGTACGCGGAGTTTTGGTGCGCAAATTCATGCTGGCGGCTCACAGTCTGGGCATGACCAACGGCGAGTGGGTCTTCCTGGACGTCGAGATCTTCCAAAGCGACTACTGGGGCGACAAGGGCTGGGAGATGAAGGACGAGCACGATGCCAAGGCGCGCAAGGCGTATGAGGCCCTTCTAAGGGTCAGCCTGCTGCAGCCGACGAGTCCCAAGTTCCAGGACTTTGCCGACAATGTGCGGGAGAACGCGCTCTACGACTACAACTATACGTTTGGCGAGGGCGAGGAGGTGAACTTCTTCATCGGAGCCTTCTACGACGGGGTCTACCTGCTGGGCATGGCCTTGAACGAGACCCTCACCGAGGGCGGCGACATCCGGGATGGGGTCAACATTACGAGGCGGATGTGGAACCGCACCTTCGAGGGCATCACTGGGCACGTGCGAATCGACGACAACGGCGACCGAGATGCGGACTACTCCATTCTGGATCTGGACCCAATCAACGGAAAGTTCTCGGTCGTGGCCCATTACTCCGGTGTTCACAAGTGAGAAATCAAGTTTAAGCTTTAAGAGACATACTCCAATCCCTAATCTTTCCTTGAAGAGAATATGCGGCTGTTCATGGCAAGAAGATTCATTGGCCAGGTGGACGCGAGGAGCCACCACCTGATGTGCCCCCCTGTGGTTTTCTGGGCAACTCGACGGATTGCCTTGGAAACTGTAAGACGCACCTGATTGTGATATCCACATTTATAGTATCACTTGCTATTTACAGTATCGACCATTATGTACTCCATATTCGGCTTGGCCCTGTTTTTGGGTCTTGTTTTTCTGGTTATTTGCCTTCTACAAAAGTAAGTCACTTGAATTGGCTATAAGATTAAGTCTAAGGATGGACTTAATATTTTGTTTTGTGAAATAATTGTCAATCAATTTTAATCATTACTGCAGTATTGTTATTATTTTACTTACTTCATTTTCCAAAAGTAAGTCACTAAAACCAAGTATAGGATTAAATATTTATTCAAGCCATATATTTTATGGTATGAACAATACTATTAAGATACATGGCATGGCAACCATAAGTGTTAAAATAATTGCTTAAATATCAAGTAATTCGTTTAAAATTCGTTTCAAATAGTTTAGAAGTTTTAAGCCAATGGTTTAAAGACTCATTATCTTGTACCCTTTACACAAACTTTAAAAAAACCTCAAGTTGAAGATCGGATAAGTAATTGAGGACCTGTACCTGCGATTGTTAGGTCAAGTCGTATTCGCTACATTCTGATCTAAAAAAAAAAAAATGATACGACGTTTTATTTGATTTTGATTAATAGTGAAAATAAAATTAATACAAATGAGTATTCCGTTTTAAGGCAGATGAAGCTTAGCAAGGAGCTGAACAACATGACCTGGCGCGTTCGTCCCGACGACGTCCTGATCGAGATGGGGGGCATGTTTGGGTCCAAGGGCGGACTGCAGCGCCTGGATGTGGAGAATATCTCGCTGCAGCAGTTCGGGATCCACTCGGGCCGCGCCTCGATTGCCAGTTTCACCTCCCTGCCGCCGCAGGTGTACACCACCATCGGGCAGTTCAAGGGCGAGCGGGTGGCCATCAAGAAGGTGAATGTGAAGAAGGTGGATCTGACTCCCCAGTTGCTCTGGGAGATCAAGCAGGCGCGGGACGTGAGCCACGAGAATACGGTGCGATTTGTGGGCGCCTGCATCGATCTGCCCCGGCCCACGGTGCTCATCCTAACCGAGTATTGCTCGAGAGGCAGCTTGAAGGACGTGCTGGAGAACGAGGCCATCGAACTGGACTGGAACTTCCGCATGTCGCTCATCCACGACATCGTCAAGGGCATGAACTATCTGCACAACAGCGATGTAGCCGCCCATGGAAAGCTGCGGTCCTGCAATTGCCTCATAGACGGACGATTCGTCCTAAAGATCTCCGATTTTGGACTCAGAACGCTGACCACACCCTCCGATTTCGTGCGGGATCAAAACTACTATCTGAGTGAGTTGGCCCATTATGCCTACGTATTTTCTAGACATCCAACGTTTTTGGCTACCTTTTAAGTTGCAGTGAACGCAAAAATTAAAAAAAAATATGTGTATATATATAATTTTTGTAGCATCAATTCAAAATTAGTTAGTTATGCATTTTAGTCGCTGAAACAGCGTATCTTAAGCTCGAATTTTTAAAAAACCTTTGTCGAAACCAGCCGGATTGGACGACTTTGGGATCAATCGGAATATTAAAATTACATTGTTTAAAATTTATATTTTTTTTAAAGAAGATTTCCTTTTTGCATAGCTGCAAGGGTATATAAACTTCGGATTGCCGAGGTTTGCCAACTTTCTTATTTATGATTAAACTGGTTTTGATTATAGACTGTATAATACTGAAAATTTTAATGATAGTATACGTTTGTAAAAGATTTCGGTGTACCTTATCCTAATCTGACCACAAAAATAGTACAAAAGAAATAAATATTTAAAAGCCGAGATAATACACACTGGGCATTGTTGTTGAAGAATTTCGTTTATCTTAATTTTACGTTCATTTCTATTTTCATTTTGGACCTCATTGATATTTAATCGTTTTAGAGCTTCTGTGGATTGCCCCCGAGCTCCTGCCACTTACCTCCATTCCGGGCTGCTGTCCGGCCACGCAGCGTGGCGATGTCTACTCGTTTGGCATAATTCTGGAGGAGATTGTCAATCGCGGCGGACCGTATCAGGAAGCCCGTCAGCAGATGGATGTACACACGATCTTGCACAAAGTACGGCAGTGCAACGGATTCCGGCCACTTATCCGGGAACGTGAATGTCCGCCGGACCTGCTGGAACTGATGGAAAAGTGCTGGGCGGACAACCAGGAGGAAAGGCCCACCTTCTCCACAATCCGCGGTAATATTCGCACCATAATGAAGTGAGTGTTCACTTTTATAGTATTCTCCCGCTTATGTGTGCTTAATCCCAAACAGGGGCTTCTGTGAGAATCTGATGGACGATCTACTGAACCGCATGGAACAGTATGCCAATAATTTGGAGAGCCTCGTGGAGGAGAAAACCCGCCAGCTGAGCCTGGAGAAACAGCGCACGGAGGAGCTGCTCTACCAGATTCTTCCACGTCCCGTGGCCCAGCAACTAATGGCCGGCGATCTCGTGGAGCCGGAGGAGTTCAGTAGCGTGACCATATACTTCAGTGACATCGTTGGCTTCACGGAACTCTGTGCGCGCAGCAGTCCCATGGATGTGGTGAACTTCTTGAACGATCTGTACAGCACCTTCGACCGGATCATTGGATTCTACGATGTGTATAAGGTGGAGACTATTGGGGATGCGTATCTGGTGGTCTCTGGACTACCCGAGCCCAATGGGGATAAGCATGCCCGCGAGATTGCTCTGATGGCGCTGGACATCCTGCAGGCCGTCAGTTCCTTTAATCTGCGCCACAAGCCGGAGTACAAAATCCAGATTAGAATTGGGATGCACTCGGGATCAGTTTGCGCCGGTGTTGTGGGCAAGAAGATGCCACATTACTGCCTCTTTGGGGACACGGTCAACACGGCGTCGAGGATGGAGAGCACGGGGCAGCCGGGCAAGATTCACGTTTCGTCGGCCACCAAGGCCATCCTGGACAAGTTCGGCACCTTCCAGATGGAGCATCGTGGCGATGTGGAGCTGAAGGGCAAGGGCACGGTCACCACCTATTGGCTAAACAGCACCACCGAGGGCGAGGCCCGACCGCCCACTCCCCAGATCCAGGCCACCGACGAGGTGCCCTTCCCACTGCTTTTCGCCGGCATGGGAAAATAGTCTTCTGAACGCCATGCAAATTATTACTTAAATCGATCTCTTAAAAATCAGTATTATACAGGGACGTTCGAAGAGTTCTATTTCAAACAAAATCCAATTGCAAATCAAATATTTGTGTCACTTTCAATTTTGTATAAGCATTTTAAAGCCATCTTGAGAGTGGCTAATAGCCTATAAAAATTTCCAAAAAATCAAACATTTTTCAGACCAACCGTCCAGAAATTTGTCTGAGATTTCCGGAACCATCCCTGTTAAAAAATATTTTAGACGAATGTTTTATATTTTATTAATTAAAATAAATAACTGCTTTTACTGTTTTCAAAAGTAGTTTATTCATTATGATTTTATTTATTTTTAAATCAAGCAAAAAGCTTAAAGTTTTGCTTAGTAAATATTAATTTTGTCTGAGTAAAGTTTTTACTTTCTTAATCAAAAACTTAATATAATAAAAGTTTCATACACAAATTTTGTTCCCCAGGCATTCTGTATTTATAAAAATAATCATTTCATAAGGTTATTAACTGAAGTTAGTATAAAGATTAATATGGTAACAATCCAGAATAATCAATGTGCGAACGTTGGCATTTCGCTTAAATTCCGATTATATATGGAATTTTAAGGATTTAAGCTTTCAAGAACGAAAAAGCTATTGGCGGGAAAAGCGTGATAAGAAGCTTTCGAGAATGGGATAATATTATCGGTCACTTATCCTGGGTAAAAGCTTTCCATCCGTTTTCCCAGCTCCGGGCCATCAGCTGTTCGAGCTGAAAGCGCTTTTCCGCAGGGGGAGGATAACTGTATTTGCGCATAGCCGACGAAAGAGGAATAGGCACAAAAACAAAGTTTTGCAAAAGCGGAAATACCACTTTAAATGAGTCCTTAAATCGAGTCAATTGACTTTTTAGAATGAACAAGAACCATCCGCGGGAGGAGCGGCAGTCGGAGCTAGTGTGGTTCAAGGAAAAGGATTACCCTGCTAGCCATGTAGTTGCAGCTTAGATTCCCGGGAGCAAACTGAGATACAGATACACACATCGCTGGCAAAATCTAGAGCACATCCTGCCATCCACTATGAAGGTCTTTCGGCTGCGACTGGTGAAGCTCGTCCTGCTGGGCTTCCTGCTGGCCAACCTGGTGTTCTTCTACTACACCTGGAACACGCTGCTTTGGCGCCGGATTAGCAGAGCCCTATCGGGGGAGTCGGTGGCACCGGAGGAGCCGCCAAAAGCGGCCAAACTGTCGCCCAAGGATAAGGTGCGCAATGCCAACAAGCACATCCGGAAGTCCATCACCATCGTGTTCTACGGCCACTACAACTTCGAGCAGGACCTCAGGGCAAGCATCGATAGCATCCTGGACGTGATACCCAACATGCCTATCCTGGTGCTGCAAGATGGCGGTGCCGAGTATGCCTATCCGCCGGTTAACTACGAGCGTAATCTAACCGCCGGCGAGGAGCGTACCGTGGTCTTTCAAAGTCTGGCCTTTGATGTGCGGCACACGCGGCAGGAGCTGAATCCCCTGGCCGCCATTCGCACCAAGTACGTCCTCATCATGCCGGACGGTGTGCGGCTGAGCAGCAAGAACATCTTGCAGAAGATCCTGCGCGAGATCAACTCACTGGGTCAGCCGGGACAGCCCAAGGAGCAGCGGCCACCAGTTCCGCCCGAAGAGACAGTGCGTCGGATGGTACTGGTCCCCTTCGCCGGAAACCTCAAGTCCTTCAGCAGCTGCGTCAGAATGACCCTGGATCTGCCTGACTGGACGCTGGAACTGGTGGCCACCAATGACAGCAGACGATGCGATTTGGTGGGTACTATTTGTACAAAAGATTAGTGTACTTAGGCCGTAAGTGTTATAAAAAGTTGGTTAAGGGGTCTAAAACAAAGCAATTTATCAAAAAAAAAAATCAGATTTTTATGACTAACAAAAAAGTTTTTATGAGCAAGTAAAAAAGTTATAGAAGTTTCGAAGTAAAACAAGCATCTAGCTTAAAAAAAAGTTTTGGAGACTTATGTAAGCAACCTAGTTTATTAAAGCTAGGAAGTTTTGACTATTTTTGATTTATTATAATAAGGTTTTTCGTAGCAATTAGGGGGTTTAGAATTAAAGGCAAATTCGTTCAAACATGAAAATATTAAAATAAATTTATATGCAAAAAAAATTTAAATATTAAAAAAAATAATATTAATATAATTGTAATGTCAACCGTTTTATTTTGTGAGTAGTTCCTGCAAAAACACGCCATCCTGCTAGATGCATCCGTTTTGGGAGCCATGCCCGAGCCATTTACTCTGCCTTTCCCGGAAATGCTATACATGCAGGCCAAAATTGCCAATTTGTCGGTGAGAACTCTTCTTTAAGGTCCTTTTGTAGCCCAATTGAGTAACAAATATCCTTTCAGACCACGGTGTTTCCGCAAGCTTTCCAGGAGGGTCGTCGTCTGTTCGCCTCGTTTCACACCAAACAGAGGAGAATGGATCTGCGAAGGCGGCAGTTCCGGGAGATGTACAAGAAACTGCAGATCAAGCGGATTGTAAGGCGGGCCTACAGGGTGCCCGGCAAGGCCCAGGCGAGGGAGGTGTGGGGTCAGGGGCACGGCTTGGTCCTGGACGGCCAGTTCTCGTCGTCGAACACATCGCTGCCGCTCATTACCGACATCGATTTGTTCGGCTGCGAACGGACCACCAAGTCGTGCATCGGGAGTGTGTACAATGAAAGGCCCTACTACTCCTACCTGGGCAAGCATACGCCACCCTGCTGCCTGGACAAGCTGAGGACCACCTTCAACCACGTGCTGGAGGAGTTCGAGAACGTGGGCATACGCTACTGGCTGGACAACCGGGCCCTGCAGAGCGCCATCGAGACGAACCACCTGTCTCCGGATGCCTACGACATCGACATTAGCTTCAATGTCCAGGACCTGGAGCGATCCAATGCGATGAAGAAGTCGCAGAGCAAGCCGTACGTGGACAACGAAGGATTCTACTGGATCAAGGCCACCGACGGTCACTATTTCCGCGTCCAGTTCTCCAAGCTCAATCAGGTGGGCGTCAATCTGCTGCCCTACTCCATTACTGGTACCGAGGCTCGGGCCAACGGATTCTTCGGCTGGAAGGCCACCACCTTCTCGGCGGACTACCTGCATCCCATGTCCACGGTGCTCTTCCTGGGCAAAAGCGTTATGTGTCCGAATAACGTGCTCGAGTATCTGGAGGAGAAGCACATCAAGGTGAGGTCCGCTGACCTGGATGCGGAGGAGGATTAGGCCAACTTGATAAGAGCCTTTCCTTATAACAAAAAAATCCATGAACTTAACAAAAAGAGTGTGTGTGCTGAACGCTGAGATTATAAATTAGGATCAGTGACTATTGAAATCGTGATCATTATGGAGTAACTTTCCAGGAAAAAGCCAATTGTACTAGATAATCCGCCTGTCGGCGATGATATGAGATTTCTTAGTTCAGTTCCAAGTTACTGAAAACCAAAATTAAATGAAAATTGGTCGACAGGGTGAAGACTAAACATCAAACTAGACAAAACTCACAGAAAACTAAATTGGAATGGAATAAGCATTAAGAGAACAATTTTTTGTACTAACTTTGGTCTGGTGTTTCGAATAAGAGGCCTCAAGATCTTTCAATCCTCTAACTTTTTTTGTTGAACACCAGACCTTAAAACGGATTTGACTAAAGTTTTATTCAACGTTTATTTGATTTCTAAGCATATATACAATTTTGTGATTTTTACATTGCTTCTGAGTTCCTTATGTTGGTTGAGGTCAACCGCACGTTGATAGCAAATTTTTGTTAGATTGATAGGAACATAACGTAACATAAGAGGGAAGAGTCAAAATTCTTTTATAACCAGCAGATCTATGTGTAAAATAAAATACATACAATCAGATTATAGTGTTTTCCTGCTGGCCATAAGCAAACTAACTGGGATCATGAATCGGATTTAGCTGCGCACAGTGGTGGCTGCATCGGGCACCACACTGCCCTCCGGAAGTTCACGGACCAGGGACAGCAGCTTCTCCAGCTTGGCAACCTGCAAAGTGGTCTGGTCGAGATAGAGCTGCTTCTTCGGCGGCTTGACCATCATGCGGAGATTGGGCGACAGCTTCAGCGATGTGGTCACTCCCCTGCAAATTAGGAAGGGTTTAAGTTTATTTTATTACTAAAACAAAAAGTGAAGAAAAGAGAGGCAGGCAAAGACGAAATTTCGATGAACATCCATTATGCTAGGACTGTAGGTTTGTCAAAGCAAAACCAGGTAAATAAAGTCATGTAAGTATTTTGGAAATATCAAATCAATATCCAAATTATTCAAATGTTGACTAGTATATTGATATGTATGCAATTCAAAATATAAACCAAGTTAAAAGCCGCTGTTCCTACAGTCCAACTTTTTTGTTGGCATTAGAAAGTCAAATTAGGTTAATTCAGTTACATAACGTCAAGTCTTTATAACCATGTTTTTTTTTTGTCAATTGTTTCTTTAAGTGTTTAATGGTTTAAACTGTTACTGTTACTGTTTTCATAGAGTGATCTAGTTAATTTTTTTTTTAATTGAGTGAAATATAATTAAAGATACTTACTTTTCATCGCCCACCACAATAAAGGCGAGCTTCTCGTTGAAGGCCAGTCTGGTGAGCTTGTTCTTCCGCTTCGGAACCACTGCCTGAACGCATATAGCCTTGTATTTGTTAACATTCAAATCGAAAACATGCACCTTGCCCTCAGTGGTTACCGCTGCGAATACGGTGCTCGAGTAAGGAGCCCATTTCACATCACCCACGGCAGCGCCCAGATCAAAGATGAAGAGAGGGTCGGGACGCATGTCCTCCCACACTTTAACCCGCCAGTCGCCGCTGCAGGACACGAAGATGTTGCTGTTGAACCGGTTGAAATCGATGCGGTAGACGGACATGTTGTGGGCATCGTAGGTCATTAGGTACTTGGAGCTAAAGGCCGTGCTGCATTTGTAGATGTACCCACATTCAGTGCCCACCAGAAAAACCTTGAGAACAGGAAATGAGGCTCGACAAGATTATTACTTTAAAAGGATTATAGTTCTAGCTCAAAGTTATAAAACCTTCTGAAAGGTTAAACCAAAATACCAGTCAATTATAAAAGAAGGAAATATTTATGGCAAATATTAGCGTCCATAATATATATTTATAAATGCCTACCTTGTTGTCGAAGGGATGGAACACCATGCAGGAGCCCCCGCTCTTCAGACTGACCTTGGTACCATCAGGCCCGTCCACCAGGCCGTTCTCCCGGTACAATGTGATGATGGTGGTGACCCACAGCTTGTTCTGCATGAGGATCCAGTTGAAGACCCGCCCATCGGAAGAAACCGAGAAGAAGTTCACTTCGCCGTCGGTCATGTCCAGACCCCACTTAATCTGCCACACGCACTCGCCGTGTTTGCAATTGACTCCTTTGGAGACGTACAGCGGTTCCTTGCAGTCCTCGCGCAAGTTATACACAGCCACATTTCCGTCGTAAAGTCCGATCACAGCCAAAAAAGGATATGTGGGATGGATGTCGCAGCACATTACCCCGCTATCGGTTTGAACTAAAATTAATTGAGGTATAATCAATGTGTAATCATATGTGATTAGCGTAGTTTAAACCTACTAATGTAGTCCGGGAATGAGGGATTCTTAACGGTGAAGAGACACAAGTAACCCTCGTTGGTTTGCTTCATGAAGTCGTCTAAAATAGAGATTGTAAATTATATCATGCATTTAAATATTTTAAGGTTTGAAACTTACGCGATCCAAAGCAGACGGCAAACAGATCGTAGTAGCTCGGATTGAAGAGGATGTCGGTGACGTTCATCTTCTTGGTCTTGTCATACTGGAACTTCCACAAGGGCAGCAGGTTGCCCTCGCCCTCCCTGAACTCGTCGGCTGGATCCTCCCAGTAGCGGTAGTCGTGGGCAATGTCGTCGTAGATATTCTGGTTAATCATGCGCTCGAGGATCTGCCAGCACTTGAGATACTTCTTGTTCAGCTGCTCGGCAATGGCGGTCTTGTCCCGGAACTTCTTTTCCCGTCTGCCACGCTTGCGGTCCTCCTTCTTACTGCCATCCCGCTGCTGTTCCTCGAAATTCTCCATATAGGAATCGTAGATGACCCACTGCAGCACATTGGCCCCGAACTGGGAGCGTGGTGGAGGAATGGTTTGGGTGTCCACATTCTTTAAGGTAAATATGAAATTTTTATTAATTATTTGTAATATAATAATAATACAATAATCGTACTTACCCTCTTGGGATTTGAGTAAGTTAAGGCACCACGTTCGCAGTAGTTGAACTGGTTGATCAGCTTCCGTTTTTTGGAGGAAGCGGCTGCCACCGGCTGGGCCTGTTCTTCGTCTTCAGCGCGGGCCGCGCCACCCTCTCCCTCGCCCTCCCCCTCGCCTTCATCGCCCTCGGTGCCCTTGGCCTCCTCATCATCCTCTTCCTCGACCTCCTCCTCCTCTGCTCCTCCCTCCTTTGCGCTAAAGTAATATGAATCATTAATATCAAAATGTTTACTATATGTAACATTCACATAACTTCAATGTATAATTTGCAAGATAGGGTTTAGTTAGTTATAAAAACTAAGAGAGCTACATCTCATTGTCAATTGCGAGGCTTAGCTCTAAATTAGCCGTAGTGTTTTGAGAAGTAAATGCATATAAATAGGTTGTTCTAGCTTATATAGTTCCTAAATGTCGCTAGGGTTAGATTGACTAGTCTTTTGATGTTGCAATAAACTTGATATCTTATATAGGATGAAAAATGGTGTTTACCCTTTTTTAAAGTCTTAGTCATTTTCCCAAAGATAACTGAATATAAATTAAAGTCTGTTGGCTACTTACTTGGCGCCATCGTCGTCCTCCTCGCCCTCTCCCTCCTCTCCATCGACGTTTTCGGGCTCGCGCTGCTCCACCACCGTGTAGTTGGGCATGGGAAGCGGGTAGCCGATCTCGTCCGACTCCTCGATCTGGCGACGACCCTCCTCCGAATCGATGTGCAGTGAGTTTCCGGGAAAGGCGATCAGGGTGACCGTATTGCCAGGCACTGGAGCCAAGACAAACTCACCCTCCTTAAAGCTATAGACCACGAGATTCCGGATGACATTGGTGTTGGTGGGCGTGAGGACCTTGGTGACCTCCTCGCCCAGCTCCGCCTCGGTGAGATCCAGCTGGTCATCGGGCTTGAGCAACTGGCGGGACTTCATCCAGGCATCGAAGTCATCGGCATCGCCACCACCGCCCCCGCCGCCTTCGACCTTGTTCTTGGAGGTCCTCAGCTGGGGAAAATTGGATCAACAGTATGGCTGAATCACTGGGTTCGTAGGGTGGACGGTTTACGGATTTACGGGTTTACGGAGTGTGTGGTGCATGCAACATTCCACTGATGGTGCCACAAAAGAAACGAAGCTGGGAAGGGGATCTGGTTGGGTGGTGGCCACTTACCTGATACCACTAACATCAGACACTTTCGGAGTTGGGTGCAAGCTGGATTTGGGGCAGGTGAGAGGGATCATGAGAGAGGAGAACCAAGCAGAATGCGGCATGCGACTTAAGAGGAGATACGTATATCCAAATATCGTTTGATGGGGCTTATATTTGAGGTAAATACCCAAGGAGGTGTTACCTCGTCGCCATCCCAGTCGCCGTCGCTGGCGATCTCCTCCAGAGGATCGGCACATCCTGAGGCACTCGCAACCTCAGACATTGCGATGCTTACACTAGACTGAATATGATTTGAGATGGGGAGCGATCTGTCCTACTTAGCTACGACTACGAGTTGAGTTTTAGATTTGAAGAAACGACTACAGGTTGTATTTACAGGTTGTACATATGGAAAGACATCGGTTATTTATATTAGACACAGACAGGCACTCGTGGTATTTACAGATCCCTAGCTTACAATGCGTTCCAAAATCTTCAGACATAAGTCATTATTTTTATTGCATCATCATATATACAGTGCATTTAACATTAATATAGCGCCCCTTCGTTAAATTACAATTATTTTATTAAAATTTTAGCAACTCTATTTTTAACGTTTACCAAAATAAAATACATTTACGGGTTTTCTTTTGACATAAATACAATTAAAATCCTTTAGGGTTCTCTTAATTTTGTTTTTTCTCAACTTCAAGACTTATTTTTTTTAAATTTTAAGATCGAAAAAAAGTTTCTTCTCGCATAAGGTAAAAGCATACTGAAATAGAGCACTTTTGCAATTCATTTTTTAATACATTTTTTTGAGAAAGGAGTAAAAAATATTTTTAACTTTCGTTTTAAAAAAATTTCCAAATCGACGTCACAAAAATCTTAACGAAAATACTATAAATTTTGAATATTTCTGATCTCGCTGCCATGTCATTATGATTATGAAACGCACTGCAGTCACACTCACAGGCACACATATCTAAAGGGTTCAATCAGCTAAAAGTTACTATTGCAGATGCAATCTAATAGTCATATACCGCCATGGCCTTGTTGGCTAGCTTCCACATCCTGGCTGAAATTGGGATCGCTTTTGGGCCAGAAGGAATTCGAGATTGTCTGATGACCACGGAGCTCTGAGCTCGACTCACAGCAAAACGCGAATGAGAATGTGTCCGACTATCTCCTCCGGCAAATCTATCCGGCGAGAGCGGCGAAGCAAGACTGAGCCCAAAAGGAACCTAAACTTAAAGTCAAGACATTTTCGTGATGACATCCGCCACGTCAGCGGCCTCTTCAGGTAACGAACGAAGGCGAAAAACTTTCTGGCCTGACGTCACAACAGGATGAGGTGGAATAAACAAATTGCACACAACTCGATTAGCAGGTCCTGGGAAGGGGGGATATGGGGAACAACAGCAGACACCCCACCTACCTCAAAGATTGCTCCTTACATAAATACATATTTATTTTGATGTGCATCTAAATGAATAAGGTGAGCCTAGGGTCGTATACGTGAGTGATTTATCGACTCTTTTATTGCGTTGGGTCTGATGAGACTTCGACACTCACCAACCGGCCCGGCAAAGGCCAGATCAGGCCAAATAAATTGGTAGCTGTAACAAAATTGCACCGCTCCAATCGCTCTGTTCCGACTTTACGGCTTTCCGACTTTCCGGCTTTCCGGCTTTCCGACTATTTTTCCTTCACAGCTTGGCACGCACATGGTGGCTACTCCACCGGCCGGATGGGCCGGAAATTGCAAATTATGTTTCGTGACAAAGTTCCATCAAGGAGTGAGCTGCCTTGGCTCCGTCAGGAGCTCTCTGACAAACTTATTAAAAAGTAGGCGCAAATAGGCGCAAAAAAATTTTAAACACAAAAATATACTTGGGTCGCAGCAAGGACCTCGTTTCGCCATTACGTTGCCAGCTTTCGAGGCGCAAGGATGTGTGCTTGGCCAGAGTATAAAGTGTACCAGCTGCAGAACAAATAAGTGATATATTTTTGGTACTTACCTTCCCTTTGCCCTGCTTGCCATCGCCCTTTCCCGGTTTTGTTGCCATAGTTCCGGTGGTTTCTTCGAATTTTTTGCACTGAAATTCCTGTAGCTTAGATTGAAACTATTCGAAAATAGTTTTTTAAGATTAAATAACTCCTTTTTTCAACTAAAATAAAGTGTCTCAGTGATTTTTTTCCCGTTTGGTTCCCTGTCAGCGGCCTAAAAAGTGTTTTGTTGAGTGCGTATTTCACAAAGCCAACTAAACCTCAACTTTACGTAATTGTGTGGGGAAGGACCATGCTGCCATTCCTTGGCATAAAGGCATTGTTTGTTTCAGTTTCTATAGAAATTTGGCAGTCGCTATACGCACCAGAACTCGGTTGCCATTTGCATATTGATTGATTATAGAAAATGGGCCTGGGTCTTACAAAAGAGTCAGTGAAACATTTTGTTTTTTGTAGGGAGTTTAGCTTGTTTCGGTAAGGACAGTCTGAGTAAATTGCAAATTGTAAGTATAATTCAAATCTTATACAAATTTTCGTCTTTCAATGTACTTATATCTCATTAAATCTCTTATTGCAGGCAGCTTCACATTGTTTGTCTTCCAATAAGGCATCATTTCGTTTTGTTAATTTTTTAAAATTAATAATATAAGGATTTATTTGGACCTAAAATGCCAAAAGTACTGCAAGATAAGTAACAACTTTTTACTAAGAACCGTCTTCTAATAAAAACAAATATTTTACTTAAACCAGAAACTGAGTCTTTTTACAAATGGTTGGAATAAAGGGTTCTGATAATATAAATAAAATTAAATTCAGCAAAAAACAGTACTTTTTAAATAAAATCGTTTTCAAATCCTTTTTTCATTGTATGTACAGCTGTATTTCTTTTCATATTTTGAGTTCGAAAAAGACTTAGTTTACTTTATATACGTCCCATTAAAACGCTATAAAGTACCTTTTCAAAATTTTGTATGCTATATACATACATTTTTATAAATCCTTAATAAAAAGAAATATGGAAAAAAATGTCTTCAGAATTTTATATTCTAAGTTATAACATAATAACTAACTAAGCCTATTATTATTCCCAAATTTACAAATAAATCTGGGGCGACCTTGCAAAGTAATTTACATCTTCAAGGTCATCGTTATTTTTTTTTGTTTATTTTTGTTATTTTTTTATAGTTTACTTCCAAGAAACTAAAACAAAGAACACTTTTTGAAATTTTATTCATTTTATTTTTTATTTGAGTTTTGTCATGAGCTCGAGCATAAATAGATTTATTAAAGTTTCAGCTTTTCAATTCCTGCTGACTAAACTGATTAAAATATTTCACCATTTTACCCGATGCCAAACTAATGTGTTTTGACATAAATAAACAAAGGTAAACCAAGCAGACTGCACTCTTTTCAAATCAGGCAAGTGGTTTCAGCTTGATGCACCGATCTTGGGTCGTACAAACAAAGCAGACTCATTAAGATCTATAGATTGTTATCTATGGGTTCGCCCGCGAGTAACAAAGTGGCAGTGCCGGCAGCGGTGACCGATACCCAAATGAACGAGACCATCGTCGTGGTGACGAGGGCTGTGAATGGAACGCCTCTTGATGCGACATGCATATCAATTAATTACGACGGTCACATTTGGCTGGGTTTTCGGTGGACACCGCGACATTGGGGATTGGGTAATGCAATTTGGGATATTACAACAGAATACAAGACCTGGGACTGGGACCGATTGCAAATCGCTGGAATCGCTGGGCAACCGGACGCACTGCCATCGAGCCCGTGCAGTTGGCCGAATTTATTCAAATCAGTTGAATTCCGCGCGGGGCAGCGTATAGGTGTCTCCTGTCCTCCGAACATCGTATCAATTGCAATGTGCAAATACGTCTTAATTGCTGCACTGGCCGTAATGGTAAGTGGGTAATTAAAGCAGCCACCCGTCACCCACTAATCACCGCATTAACATTGCCCTTGGCTGCACAGTGCTCCATGGTCCGGGTGCGAGCCACGCTGCACGATCTGCCCGGGGTCTTTGACTTCTCCAACGTGGACCTGGTGAACTTCCAGTACTTCAAAAACCTGGCCTCCCAGGATCCTCGAACCGCCGCCACAGCCAATCCGTTCCTGGAGCACTTCCAGAAGAAGAAGGCGGTACTGGACTACCTGGACCGACTCTTCTTTGGCAACTCGCCATTCCAGCAGCCCAGCGAGATTCCCTTCGATCCGCACTTTGGCCGCGCCTGGCGTCCAGTCTACGAGCGGAAGTTCGGATACCGCGGGGAGCGCCTGATAGCCGCTCTGGGCTCCGGTTACTCAGTCCCCCAGCTAAGGCACTTTGGAGCCATTCCGCGGGAGTACGGCACTTCCCACTATCCAAGTTGAGTGCGTAAAGTACCCTCATCGCTCTAGATAGTATATTTATGGAATAAACTTAAGCTACGATCCTTTACCCTACTCCTTTGCTTTAACTTTACGGGGGAGGCAAGACTGGATTCAGTTGATATATAAACTTGTTTTGAAAAACTAGGCATCTTCAAAGCTACGATTTGGACCTTTTCTTAAATTCTAAGGAGCACATCTACTGGAGTAATATATAATACTGATATGAAAATCACTCTGAAACTATGGAAAAACTGTTAGGACGGTACTTCAAAGTAGACAGAAAGAAGCATAAGCTGCGATCTTGTATAATACAGTAAAGGTTAATTTTTAATGGGGTGTGAAAAGTGATGCGCCACTTTTGTAAGGAAGATACTTATTTGATCACACAATCTCCTATTTTGATTCAGCTATATTTATAAACTGCAATACATATGTTTTGTTTTAATTTAGAACGTTTTGTTTCTGTAAGCCTTTGAAACTGAGAGTAAAGAAAGGTACCAACTATAAGGACCATTCTACCAATTATTATTGGAGGTCGGTCCCCAGCCTTTCGATACACCTAAACCAAGCAACCCAAGGATGTTTGTGTTTTTGTGGAGACTGTTGTATTTACGGGATAAACTTAGGCACTACGATTTCAGACCCTCCGTTTCTGCGTGGATATGTAGAGGACATTGTTGCCCCGGATGAAGGCATCGCCGTACTTGTTTTTCAGCTGCCCGTTCACATACTCCTCCGTTTGTTCCAGGCAGATGTTCATGTAGCCATCCAGGCAGGCCAAAACCCCTGGAAATCGGGAAGTAAAACGTGATTGCCGGCTTTTGTTTATTGCAAACTGATTGAACTCACCTCGGTAGTCCACGCCGTTGTTGAGCTTTACGGCAACGGGTCGGCCGTGAATCTGATTGATAAACTGCGACAGGGCTTCCTTGCGGGACATATTTAATAGAGTATTTCTAAGTAAATGCAAATTCTGAACTCTTTCGGCAAAAAACAACACAAGTTTACACTAAAGATGGACAAACATCGATACACACCGATGCTATCGATATTGTCAAAATATCGGTACTATCGTTGTCTTGATGCGCCCTTTAGCTATTTTATAGCTATGCATACTTTTGAAATAATATTCCCGCCCAAAAGGTGTAGCTTGAAAATAATGACACAAAATTGCTCTATATTTCTAATTTATATATTTCTTAAGGATTCATCCCGTAAGATTTTCATACATTAAATAAATAAATAAATAAATAAATATGTTAAGTCAAAGCCAACTAATTGCTAGCTATTATAAAAAGGGCAGCCCATGGAAACTGTCTCATGGGACTACCAGCGCCATCTGTTGGTCAAGTTGTTGAGAAATCTAGCACGTTATGGGTGTATAAAAAAACGTTTAATTTAAATAAAGCGGAGTAAATAAATTATAAGCTACAATGCAACTAAATATTAAAAAAGCTTAGTGTATGCCCTCCAGTGGCGTGTAGGTCTTGTACTGATACAATTCTGGTCCGCCATAGCCATAGAGAAGTTTTCCGCGTCCATGCTCATCATAATAGGGATAACGGTATTTGGGCCTGAAATAAATCGTTTGGTTTTATTTGGAAAATTAGTTTTCGGTAAATTACTCATAAATACCTTTCAAAGTACTGGAAGTTTGGTGCCTTTGGCTGAACAGTGGCAAACGATGTGTGGGCCACAAATGCAAGAATAAATAAAAGAAGCTGAAAAAGAATTAAATAATTTTTGTTTTTGGAATTAATTAACAATGTTTGACTTCTTCGCGACATCAAGTTTGCTTGATGTGCTTTTAAGTCGAAATAATACTACTTTTTCTTGACACAGAGGTATATTTCTTTAAAATTGCTTCCGTTACAACTTAAGGGCTTTAAAATCTAGATAAATTAAGTTAAAACTTAAGGGCTTTAAAGTCGAGATAAATTAAATTATAGTATTTAATACTTCTGCAGTTTAGTTGGTCCCAATTTCGAAATATTACCGATTCTGATTAGTACACAATTTTTGAGTTTAATTCAAAATGATTTTGCCGTATCAAATTTCTTTAAGGTCTGGCACTATAAACTTATCTATTTTCAAAAGATCGTCACTTAGGGAAAGTTTGGGATTTTAGCAATTTAATTTGTTTTTTTTTCGGTTTTAATGTGATTATTACGAATTAAACTGGTGCGTGGTTTTGGTAAAAGTAAAGTTTTAATTGAAATTTGTAATAACAAACATAACAATGTGAAAGTAGTTTAATTTAGCAAGCCCGATTTAGGGAAGTTAAACATCACATTAAAACCAGCAAATGCTCATTAGCTCACTGTGTCAGCTACACAAAATTGGTAAACAATGTATTTCCAAGAAATCGCGTCCAGGCGCTTTAACCAACAACCAAGCAACGGTTATGCAATTGTACCAACAATAACCACGAAGCGCAACTTGGCCACAACTTGTTGCCCAGAGATTATGACACATTTTGCTTGGCTTTCAACTTGGCCAAAAGAGAGAGATAGAGACAGAGAGAGAAGGAAGAGAAAGATCGCTTTCAAGGTCTTTCCGCCGTAAGAGAGAGACTTCAAATTTGGCCCACATATGGTTTGGAAATGTGTCACTTTTTGGGACGACGAAAACAAATAAATATCGAAAGAAGAACCAACTAAGGCTCATTGGAAATTCAAGTCACAATTTCCGACAATTGCAGACGGTTGGTTTTCTTTTGGGTGCGACTTTCGCGTAGAAGCGTCGGAAATTGTGTCAGTGGGCCTATAGACGTGTTAATTTGGGAGGTAAACCCTATCACCCATCGAGGCGAAAATCAAGCGATCGGAAACTTACAGACAGCAGAAGAGCATTCAACCTGGCCATGGTTTTCCAAATAGTAAAAATATAGTACTCCCCGATCGCAGGCGTAACGGTTTAGCTAGGAAGGGCGGAGCGGTACGAAGATGTTCGCCGATCGCGTTTTGTTTGGCAACTGAATTGCACTGCCAGCCGACAAACGGCCAAAAGCCGCGCTCCACGAAGAGATTGGGAAAGCTTGCAAGAGAGTTGGAGCTTCCAAGTTCGGCTTCGAGTTTGGCTTCCTCTCTATCTCTTTAAATTGAGGTTTTACTCTAATACTGTAAGATAAAATAGTAACATATTAAACCTACAAATATGATAACTTTATTTATTAAAATTAGAATGTCCTTTACGGTTTAAGCTTAAGTGTACACTCTTTTTATTTGTAATATATGGGTATATCATTTACATTTTGTACTTAGGTATTTTTTTTTAACATTTCTAAAAATTAGATATAACTTGTACGTAAAACGAAAAGACTTTATTATCACTTATTTTATTTTTTTAAATTTCACAGTGCTAAAAGGGTTTCCTTGTTATTTAGTCCACAGTTTGCACATTAAAGCAATTATTATTTGAGTAGCATTTAATATTGGTTTTTATTGTTAGAACCTTTTTTTAAGATAACAAAATTTACGGTTAGGCCCGACTGATTTAAAAATAATCAAATAAGTGTGAGCTTATTATATTATTAATTATTTAATAACAAGGTTATTTTCTTATAAAATTTACCTTTGTATATATTTGTTTTAATAGTTTTTTCAATAACTTTAGTTTATAAAGAACAGTTAGAGCTGGGCGAACTTAAAAAATGTTTCTCTCGGTGTAAGTTATTTTGTTTACTTAATTTAATGATCCTTAAGATTTTGCAACTCACTGAGAAAGTGAAAGTCCTGAATAAACTTAAGCGCAGTGTTTTTTTCGTATGCGTTTAGGCTGCCGGAAATGTATGTTTATAAACAATAACTATGGCATCAAAAACCCACCTGAGCCGACTCACGTAGGCTCTTTTTTTTTTGGTAGCAAAGAGAAATATTAAGAGATGGGAAGCCCCGTGCGCCGAGACAGCTGTTCAGGTGGGCAAAAATGGAATTGGGGCCACATTACCAAAGTGGTAGTGGACCGACTGGATGACCACCTCCTATCGAGATGACGATCGACAATTATGTAACTTCTGCAGACATGAAAAGAGTCAAGCTCCGACAAAAAAATTGCTGCCAACCAGTTTTTGCTTTCTTCGTTTTGCGACTTTGTGCCATTTCTTCTCAGCTCCGGCGCACTTTCTTTGCCTTGCATTTGCATTCACATTTTTCCTAAGGTTTCTATTTCTGTTTAACATTATTTTCCACCTTTTTTATTTCTTTTTTCGGTTTGCTTTGGGCGCGTTTGGCTTGCGGCAAATGGCAGTAACCTCTGGCGAATATGCGTACTTAGTTCCGTCTGCCATGAAAACCAATTTGGTGTGTCATTAAACTAAACTAAAAAAAATAAAACAGTTCATAAAGCCAAAAAGAGTATGGCAAAGTCAGCTTTTGAAGTACCTGTTCGAAGGTCGAAGGCAATGTCACAGATCGGAGATCATACTCCATTAATAGGCTGTAAAACCTTTAAAACTTTTTATACACTTCTCAAATTATATAATTCGTTCCTAGTACATTTTTATTATTTCGTAAAATAATTGTTTTCCTTATAATTTAAAAGTAAATAGTAATTTTAAATTTAAGATATTATACAAAGACTTAGCTTAAAGTTATTGTAAGCCCACTTAATCGACATGTTAAGTAATAATACACTTTTTTACAGCCACCAAGTCAATCGGCATTTTTCTCAATGTCTTAACACAAATTTCCGAATCCGTTAAATATTTGTTAGCCAAATTGAATCTTGCCTGTAATCTCTCAATCCCTCTCTGTCTTTCTCTCAATTTCTGGCTCACTCTTCGTTTTGGCTGTGTAACTTCTCAAAGTCTGTTTGGTTTGCCATATTTAGTTGCCGCTCGTGAGGTTGATTTTTATTTTCAATATTTTTCGAGTTGGCGGTTGGCTGCGTTTTATGCAACTACGCGATTTCTGCGATTCGTAGTCTTCAGTGATCAATGGTCCAGTGACTCGCACGGGCGGCTCTTTAATTTGAAATACAGACTCGAATCGCGACAATGTTTCACCTGAGTTTTGCCTTTATAGGGACTGTAAGTGTAACATCAAAGTAAACAAGCCATGAATAAATGCATTAAAAGCTGCGCGGTGGAAGGCTAATGTTGACTGGTGAAATATGGGGCGTATGAGTAATAAACGCTCATCGATTAGTTTCTTGTGCAATCTAATTATCTGCCTTCCAGCTGGTTAACCACACGCCATTGGAAGTGCCGGGTCCAACAAAGCAAAGTTAACTTGGGAAAATACAGAATCTACATTCATTGCAATTTTATTAAGAAAATGTTATATTATCGAAAATAGTGTGTTACTAAAATTAGTTACAACATTTTAAAGTGATATTTGTGCTTTTAAGATCAAAATTTAATGAAAACCCTGTTACTTAGGAATAATTGAAATAAAAAAGTTGTGGCTTGCTACTGTTTTCACTTTCAGACGTTGTTGTTTTTAATTTTGTATGCAGTTAAGCGTACTTTTGCTGATATAGCATCTGATAGAATACAGAAGTGCCCATATTATTTAAATGCTTTGGTACATTTAAACCGACTTAACATTAACTTGTGTGCAAATTATTCAAAAGTGAAAATAGGCATGTGTATCTTATTGGCAATTTTTTTAAGATTAAACAAGATTAGGCGGGTTTTTTGATTTTCTTAATTTGTTGAACAGGTGCTTTTTATGAAAGATTATATAGACAAAGAGTATTCTAAAATTGTAACTAAACTAAAATTAGCATCACCTTTTTAACCGACAATTGGCTATTATGTGTATTTATATTGGTTATACAATTTTTTTCCAGCTACCTCTGGTCCTGGTCCTTCTGCTTCAGGTTAGCCAACCCACAGATGGCTTTATCCTGCGACTAATAACCGAGACACTACAGAACAATGTGGCTGGTGAGCCGATCCTTCACGAGCGGACCCAATGGGACTTCGATCCAGAAGCGGCCAAACGGGCGAGATCTCTATACTACGAGGTGGGACATTCTGAACATCATATTTTATTACTTGCTGATTGATCATTGATTTTTGCAGAAGAATGGATTCCGTTCGGCTAAATTCATTGAGCGATTGGGCGTGGGTCTAGATGGGCGGCATGAGGACCGGCGGCTGGAGCAAGGACATCGCGATGAGGGACGGCTGAACGGCGAACACAATGTGAACTATCCGCCTCCGCCGGCTTAGCCATAAATAATTATGATTTACATTTAACTCTTGTTTCGTTTGCCATGCCTAATTCCCGCTGAGTGGTCGGTCGGACGGGTGGGGTGCCTAATATGGAATATGGGGAAATCCAGCACATTGTCATCATTTTAATTTGCAGCGATTAATTGTCATTGTGCGCATTAATGTGCTTCACAAGGATTTGCGTAATTTGCACAACGTTGCCGACTGCGAGACTACAGCAGCATATCCCTCTCGGTTCGGCTTAACGTAAATGGTTGCAGGCTGTGGCGGGGAAGTCCCTGAATCCTGCCGAGTCCCCAGCAATGTTGTTGTGGTTTTAATAAACGTTATTAGCCGACTGGCTGCATTGCCTGCAACTGCAAATTACCGCAATTACATTCGGCTCAAGCGAAAAGCAACGGCAGCTACTTACTTTCGCAATTTTTGTAATTTCATAATTGTGTCGCGTAATTAAAGCCAATTTTGCATCGAGCTGAATCAGGACAACGCAAAACGTAGGACTCAGGGAAAAGGATTCAGGTGTATGAGTAAGCTGGCTGCCACTTTTCACCATCAATTTCGAACAAATGGGCTTGGTAAATTCTGCGAAAGTGTTTCAGTGTGTGGCATACTTTAAGGCTTGGCCAGAATTCAATGTACATGAAAAGGGTATAATTACAGAAAATGTGATGGATTTTGCACCCAGAAACTTTGGCTTATACAAGTTATTTAAATTGTTTTGTTCCTTTAAATAATATTCAGTTTTTTTTATTGGAAACAAATCTGATTATCAATTACTGTGAATTTACGCAAAATAAGCACATAAAAAAGGGTTTTTATGATGATTTTTGAAAAATAAAACACATAAAATTGTTTAAAATAGCAGAATTTCTTTTAAAACATGGTTTTGCGTTTAAACTTTAAAATGTGTATACGTTTATACTTCAGTGTGTATAAGTCAATAGCTACTTGTTACTTTAAATTTGAGTGGTGTACACTTTATATTCTTACATTTCTTAAATAAATATCCTTTATTAAATAAATATGTTTTAGCGAATTGCCAATAAACTCGATTTACAGAATCGAGGGCCGACAATCACTGGAATTATCGCGAACAATGACAACCGCAACTGCAGCAACCGCTGCAACTGTTGCCACTGTTGCAACTGCAACTGCTGCTGCGTGTGTGCTGCGGAAATGAACTGCCGACAAATGATGCAGCGAGTGCTGGGCAAACTGCTGCGTTAAATAAATAAAATTACGCACAATTTGCGGCTTTTTCGGATCGGGGGCCAGCGGAAATGCAGAACGGAAATTACATTACAGCTGCAGAGTGCGCACAAAGCCGCGAGTGCGTATACGTAATGCGAGGCCAACCAGCGATAACACCATAAAATTGTTTAATAAATTGTTAATACAACATTGTAAATATTTCATTGATAAACCCCCGGGCCACCCACCACTCCCCCAAAAAGCAACCCGTGCGAACCGCAGCAGTTGTTCCTGTTTATGACACTAATTTAATACGAAATCAAACAGTCATCGCCATCTCGATAAGACATGCGGGTTGACTTTTATTAAAGGCAAATGTAAATAAAATCATAATGATATTTCGCCAGGCCCGAGTCGCAGTACCGATCCCGAATCTAGTCCCGGATGAGGTGCATGCATTCATTAGCCTTATCAGCTCACTCAACATCAAATAAAATGTTTAATAATACAAGTGGACGGTGGGCGGTGGGTGGGGTCGCCGAGTGGCAAACTCGATAATAATGACGGGATATCACATCAGGTTGAATCAATTGTCGCGTTGTTGGGTATTAACTTTCATTTTGTGACGATTTTCCCCTGACATCAATTGCTGTGAAAGCGGATTACTTGTCATAAAAATGTGCGCACAAAAAAGGTAAATTTATATAAACGCTCGGAAAATGGAAGGGGCAAGTGGGTCTTCCCTTTTGAATGGGTGCTAAATGTTTTTTGATACTATTATTATTGGACAGGTAGGACCATGAATGTTTGTCAAGTCGGGGGCGATGAAAATACACTTCTCTGAGCAGTTAAACTGATTTAATTGGATCCGTGTTGATATTAATAAATTTGTTTTAAAAGGTTTTTCTAAAATTTTTCTTTTTAAAGGAAAACAATGAAATTGAATTAAGACTAATTCTTTTCTAATAACTCTTTGAAAAGTATTTTAAAACGAAAAAATCTGTTATGTTGGTGTTAAAGTCGAACTTTTTTATTTTACACCTTAATAAAATCGATATCGATTTTCTTTCCTGTTAAGTCAACAGCAATGTTAAATCAAAATATCTTAACCCCATTTACCGCCTTAACTTTTTAAGCTTTTCTTACTCTTCTCTTTTAACTAAAAGAAGAGTATTGCAAAGTTCCAAAAAACCTTGAAAATACTATTTGTTGCAGAATAAGCAGTGAATATGGAATTACGTGTTGGCTAGACATTGCATTAGCCAGGCCCAGAGTCAGTTGGCATTTGTAGTCACGTAACCCCACCGAAATCAGAGGATTTATATGAAAAGCATTTCCTGATTTTGCGGCCCCCAAAACCCTCAGGTCGCTGATTATTGGTTCAATGCACCTGAAGGACATTTTTCTATTGCAAAAAGTAAGCGGGTGGGCCTGAGGTGGTGGAATGAATTTCTTAATGCATTTCCGTTGCGCAATTGAAGTCAAGCCAAAAGGCGGGGCAAGGACTCTGTCGGTGGCTAATGCACGGGCCACAGCCACAATAAATGTCAACTTGTCCTGCATGCAAGTGAAGTGTATCCTGGGAGGGGCAGGTCCTTTCGCCAGCAAAGGGCAGGCGAGTCGAGCGAAAGGCAAATCAACTTTGCTTGCGCATAAAATGTAATTTATAAAATGTAATATAATATCAACAGCACACAAAAGGCGGAGGTTGTGGGGTCATCCCACAACAATGCCATAATGTCAACTGCCTTTTGTCCTTGCGGATGATTCTGGTGGCTACCCGCTGCTGTTGAGTCACTCATCCTCCTCTGTTAGCCCAGGAGCATTTATTTTATTTCATTAAAAGCAGTGCACAGAGGAAAAGTAGGTCCCCCTTGAAACAAATACAACTCTAAATAATTATTTAATGATCAAGAGAAACGCCAATAATATATATATATAATATATATATTTAAAAACAAGATAATCATTTATATTTTATTAAGCTTAATCACATCAGTAAAGTATTTTTTTTTTAATATTCCTAGTAATAATATAAATATGATTTAGAGAAAACTTTGGATGACAAGCATTAACTTGACCCTACAAAATTATGCTTTTGAAAAAATTCAGATGGTAAATATAACCAAATTTTGTAATGTTTTATCTATGTGCAAAGACTCTTTTGCCATCTATCTCTTTCTCTCTCCGCCTCTGGCTTCTCTTTCTTTCTGTCTTTCGCTGCTGGAGGTCCTTTGGCATATCCTTGTGCCTTTTTTATTTGAGGGTAATTGCAATGCTAGCTGGGCAATTTTAAATTTTATCATTGCGCCCGCATCTGTCGCTGACAGATTAGTTAGTTATTCTACTTATCCTTCTGCTCTTTCTCCAGATTGGTCCTTGTATTTGCCCCAAGCCATTGTGAGGCTGCCATAATTTTGTCAAGCAATTAATCATTTTCATAAATATGCAGGGGTTAGAAAATATATGATAACTATTTTTAATTAGGCATTCCTTAATTTTATAAAAAATTTAAGCCACAAAAGTTTTGTTCTGTTTTTCGGAACTGATTGGGTTTCTTATATACTTGCAAACAAATATAAGTGCGTTTTTGCATTTATTTACAAGCATGTGCATGTAATATTTTCAATATGTTTGCCAAAGGATTTCTTTTCTGGGCTGAAAATGCAAATCCATTATGCCACAATGTCCTCGACTAATGCACTGGGCAAACTTGGGGCCTCAGCTTTTCGCATTGTTGTCGCTGATTTCTTGGCATTGTTAAGCGTATTAAGAATGTGTGTACATACGCAATATAATAATGGCCTAGGTCTGCAAGCTTAAAAGCATATTGAAGTGGAAATATATTGGGAAAATATTGGTAAATTCCACAGATATTTACGAATAATGCGAAGTAAATAAAAATGTTTTTTTTTATTGTTAAAAAGATATAATATGGTTTAAAAATTGTATGTATTTTGAATTTACTTAATGTTGTAGTCCTTTCGTCGTTTCCCTGTTTTCAATAAAACCATTTCTTCATCACTACAACGGGGTAAATACATTTGTATTAAAAAATCTTGAGCAAATTACAGTCATCAGTTGGTAAGCCAAATCAAACATTTCCTGCTCAGCCAGTGGATATCCCAACAACCTTCCATTTAATTCGGTCTTCTCTTTTTTTGTTGCTCTGGGTCCTTTGCCACTCGAATTCACTTGATTACAAAGTAATTTATTGGCAAAACGAAAAGTCAGAGGAGTGGTAGCGGCAACAAGAAGCTAGATAAACAAGGATTTGTCTCAATGACAGCCCTCTGACCTCCCACCGCCCCCTAGTCTATCTGCTGCGCATACGAAATGCGGCAAATCCCAAAAATCAACAAACAAATGAAAAGAAAATTCAATAAAATACGACGAACCGAATAGTAGAGGGAACTTTTTCCCTTCATTCTTTCTCGTTTCTGGTTTGGAGGGGAAAAACTAATTACACAGAAAAGCTGGAAAAGCGTCTACCAGTGGGCGTGTTGTGTTAGCTCGACCACGCCCCCTCCCACATTTTAGCGGCTCTTCTCCTTTAACTTTTGATTTCTTTCCCTTCGCATTTTTCCGTCTTCACTTTTCGCACATTGCGTAAGGCGCATTTAATTACGTATGCCAGGCAGGAGTTGGGATCCCCACTCACTTAAACTCTAAGTTTATTTCCACCAGCTCGGTACAGTACGCTCTCACCTGATATGCTCTTAGTTGTTAAATATAAAATTGAAAAAAACATTAAAAGAATTATTAAAAAAAAATGTTATTTATTGAAAACTAACCTTGATTTGTTTCGACTGGTCTTAAACATTTG